AATAAATGTTGAACTACAATTTAAGACCAAATAAAAAATGTTAGGCCACCATGGCAAATGCTGGTAGGACTGCTCATGTCATCTCTTAAAGATTTTTTGCAAGAAACAACAGCCTGTTTACATGGTCTGGTTTCAGAGATGAGCGCAGGCAGGTGACAATATTGCCACCTGTACTGAAGACCCTCAGCCACGCTCCGACACATGTGACGCCGGCCAATCACAAAGCTTTGATGCGTTCAAGTGCATTATTTTGGCACAGGAAGATTATGTTACAGGACATTAACGATAAAACAGAATATTGTTGTTCTATTTGTAGACACATCTCGCGATCGACTGGTTGGGCACCCCTGGGCTAGACCATAGGTCTGTTGTGGTAGCAAAGTAGTCAGCTGAAGCCACATCTCTCTCAACTTCCCCACGGCATTTGTCATATAGTGCAGGCAGCGCAGACCTGCTGAAATAATACCGAGACGGCATCGCGTAACGCTTGTCCAACGTGTTGACAAGTTGCCTTAAAGCCCTGGTTGCTAACAGTGCTAACTGGGCACATATCTTTAGCGATGTGAAATGTAATGGCAAAGTACTTGCAAATAGTTTGACCCTTCTTTTTAACGAGTTGCTGCTCTTGTTCTGACATATTCGCTCTCGCTGAACACTCTCAACACATGTCACTCCCACGTGGCCGAGTGGCTTTTAGGGAGGGGCGAAAGCGCACCCAGCAAAATAATCGTATTTTGTCAATTATGCTGTTTTCATAATCGTCGCAAGCCATAATTGTAATCGCGATTAAAATACGATTAATTGCACAGCCCTACTACGAAGCTGGTTCACTTTTAAGCGTGCTTGATCTCCATGGTGACTTATCCTGGAACCTAGTCTGTGCTCCGATGCAGGATAGGTTCCAAATAAGAGATCAACTCAGCGAAAGCACCACGCCTGCTGACCAATCAGAGCTCAGTGTGCGGAGGAAATACAGTTTAAACTGCCGTTGCAGGAAAGACGGCCGGCCAAAATCACCGACTGTGTGAATGTGAAAATGAATAGAACATCACATTCACCTCCCATGTTCAGAGCAATCTGACTATTATAACATTAGCGTTAAGAAAGCTTACTTAAATATCTGCCACAACATAAGTAACCGGATCAAAGTAACATTAAGTAGCCTATACAGTCCGCGGCACTCTGAGTGCAGACGTCGATGTGTCCCATTATCATTCATATCACATCATATCACTTCATAATGTATCATATATTTCCTTATCTGAGTCAGCTGAGCCGTATCTGGCCGTGCAACACTCACAGTGTCACATACTGTGTGCAGAAGTATTATTTTAAGCAACACATTAAGTTGACGAAACACTCGAGTCAAATTTAATTAAAGTCAGATCCAGTCGTGTCTTAGCAGTGATATCATAAACCTGTTAATGTACGCATTCAAACACTTTTTCTTTTACCAGCTGTATTCACCTTGCAGGTGCAGGCTTTTATCCTGGATAAATTGTTTAAGTCATGGATGTTTAAAGTTGAACTTCTTCATATTTGACTAATATTATAGTTGACTTTTCATTTTGGAAGTATGACGCTGCGCTGTCAGTGCGCTTCTCCATGTTTGTGATTGGTCGAATGCTCCAGATACCACCCCTTTTATGTGAACGCGCACCTAACTAGATAGGACACGGCTGGCTTGAGCGAACAAGTTGATAGCCAGCGTTGTAGGACAGTTTAGCGAGAGCGGCTTTGTTTTGGATTAAGTCAACCGGATAACTCAAAACATATCCAGGATAGGTTGAACTAGATTCGTTGTATACCCCCCAGGTTAGCCGCTAAGCATAAGTTACCAAGGATCTAGCCTGCTATAAAGAGAACCAGCTTCGTAGGACCGGAAAGCCGGAGTTTTCCCTGAATTTAGCCGGCTAAGCGAAAATCCTGCTTCGTAGTATACCCTGCTGCTCAAGTAGTTCCACATGAAACATAAAACATAAATAGAACAACAAAAGGACATCATACAGCATCATTTACATAATTATCCACATAAACAGGTACCTATAGCTTCCGATTGAGTAGCATCCAACCGAGCTTTAAAAACATTTAGTGGCACCAGATTGTTCAGTTTCCATTTAATTTGCAGACTATTCCAAGACAGAGGAGCTGCGCATCTAAAAGCTGTCTTCCCTAAGACAGTCCTAGCAGTTGGCACATTTAATAAAACCACAGCATTCGATCTCAGGCAGTAGCCACTTACAATTCGCCGTGAGATCAGGGAGCAGATATAAGATGGAAGTTTCCCTAACATGGCTTTGTATATAAAAATGTAACAGTGACTGAGCCTCCGTACAGTTAGTGAAAGCAAACCTGCCCTTGCATACAGGGTACAGTGATGGGTTAATGCTTTACAGTTTGTCACAAATCTCAGTGCACTGTGATACGCAGCATCTAACTTGATCAGGCAATGGGCAGGTGCATTCATATACATCAAATCACCATAGTCCAGCACAGGTAAAAAGGTCACAGTGACTAGCCTTTTCCTGGCCTCAAGCGAGAAACAGGACTTGTTCCTGTAGAAGAAACCTAGCTTAACCGTCAGCTTTTTAAGCAGGTTATTGACATGAAGTTTAAAAGTGAGACAATCATCAAGCCAGATACCAAGGTATTTGTAACAGGTAACCACTTCAAGTTGTATTCCTTGCGTAGTTACAATATCTAAAACACATAATGTGTTGCTTAAAATAATACTTCTGCATACAGTATGTGACACTGTAAGTGTTGCACGGCCAGATACGGCTGGAGAAGCTGACTCAGATAAGGAAATATATGATATATTATGATATTATATGATCGTTTTCTCTGCATACGGCAGTTTAAACTGTATTTCCTTTATCCTGTAATATGACTTGAGAGATTTAAACTCCGCACACTGAGTTGATCTCTTTTCTATAGACGCCGGAGGCGGGCAGCGTCAGGTAAAAAAAGTTATTTAGCCTTCCCAAACCTGAGCCTCACGCGCCGCCTATGTCTCCCTCCCTTTTGTAATGCACGGTTTGGCTTAGGGTCAAACACAACAGGATTTCCTGAAGGTTCGTGAACTAATTAAGTATTAAAATCCACTAGCCGATGCTTTTCGACTGCTCTGAGAAAACCATTGAGGAAAACACTGTTCTGGGATTTTTGGCCCTAACATCAAGATTAATCGGAGCTAAATTCTCAGCAAGTTTCCTCCTTTATATTTTCACGGATGGATGGTCCTCACAGTTCATTGTTAGGCAGGACAGAGTGTAGCCCTTGTCTCTTAAATATGGTGTATATTAAAGTAGTAACAAAGCACTGAAACATAATGTTGAACAGTAGCATTTACATACAAGTAATTCCTTAAATAAAAAGGGATTCAGACCTGTGATTTTCTTGTGATTACGTATGGTTTATGTTCTGTATGTCTTTATTTGATACTATATTGCAATGGGATCACTTCAGCCACAATGCCCCTTTTACACCCCTACTTCCTTCATTACTTTGTCTTGATTTTTCAATTTTAGACTGTCAAGATTTACGACTGCATTTTTCACGTTTGTGACCCAAATCTGACCACAGACAAAAAAATAATAAATAACAACAAATAAAATATCTGGTATCAAACTAGTTACTCGCAATGATGACCCACACAGACTCAAAAAAGTAAATACAATACCAACTGCGCTGTCACAGATGGAAATCGTAGTATGGATTATTCTGTTTTGCACACACTATTTTAGATTTCATCCGGTCTTAAATGGCTTTTCAGTATTAAAAGCCTGCAAGTGAGCCACATCCTCTGCAGGGTGGTTGAATTAATTTCTGTCTGTTTGTTTCCATCCCCTTGGCTCCCTAGCCATTAGGGCTGTTGTTTATGTCCCAAGACCTAAACACTTCACTGATTTGATAAACGTTATTGACCGTGTTAAAAACAATCTCATTAAATTACTTAAGTCTTGTTTAGTGCCTCTTTAACTCTCTCTGAGATGTGCAGTATTGTACAAACAGGTGTGTGTACATGCCTGCATGTGTATTTGTCTGTGAGAGGGACAAAGAGAGACAGTAAGGCGGAGAGGAAACAAGTGAAGATGTACATGGACAGAAGACTTAGAGAAAGTCTACGTGCGTCTCTGCTGCTACATAATGTCTAGACCAACCAGCCAGATAATTTGGGCAAGAATTAAGATGGTTCATAATTAGAACTGTCCCTATAATTAATGACGCTTTTATCTCCTTGCCTAGGAGGGAGGGAGAGACTTAGGGAGGAAGAAGAGAGGGATGAGGATCAAGGGAGATAATGGGTGGAGGAAAGAGAGGGACAGAATGATGGATAAGCCATTACAAAAAAAAAAGAACGACAGGAAATGTAGACAATGACAAGGGAATGAGAAGAAGGGAGAAATAGACACAGAGTGAGGGATAGGAAAGAAAGTGTGGACAACTGAGGTGTGTTGTAAGGTCAAATGATGATGTGAAATAGGGTAAGGGTTAAAAGTGAAACCTTCAATTAGAGAGCAAAGGTTTATTATGATCAACATATGCTGAATAATATATTTGTGTTCCAATAGCAGATTCCTTCCAAAATAATAACAACTAAATATATATAAAAGGAAAATGAAAGTTAAACGAATTAAGAGTTATGAAATAATGGCAATCATACCTAAAGATCAAGATCTGCTAGCTGGGCTTTACCAACATGAGCTGCTACATTGTACTGCCGTGTGGTTAATGCTTGTATATGCTGCTCATGCTCTTTCTGCATATCATGTATTTATATTTGCTATGTATATAAATGTCATCTTCTTAAATGTTGTATGTGAAGGACTACGGATGGAAATTAGCTCCAAGCTAAAATCCGGCATGTTTACGTTTTAAAGCATTATTTGTTTTAAATGTTCATCAGTGCATTGTCCCTCTTCAAATAAACGATTCAATTAAATCAAAAAAAGTCTTTAATGAATTTTGTGTTAACTGCATACTTCTTCTATCCCCAGGCTGTGACCCCATCCCAGTGGAGTACCTGCGGTGGGGTGACCCTGAACCGATAGCTGCTGTGGTCTTCGCCTGCCTCGGGCTCATGTTCACATTCTTTGTCACTGCAGTCTTCATCAGGTAATACATCTGTCATCTCTCATAGAAAATATGAAGTGAGTGGAACAATGCAAACAGCGCTATACTCAACACAAATACTTTACTTTACATTCACTCTTTGCACTTTGTCTTGTCTTTTTTAGGATAGCTATTAGCACTAGCTGAATCTTTCTTCATGGGGTCCACACACATACAGTAAAACACACTGTGACACGCAATCCATTTAAACACCTGAACAAACAAAACAACTCATCTCATGTAAATAACAGTCAAGTACAGTCAAGTGAAAACAAAAATGATCATCCTTTTGATCGTCATCAAGCCACAAACACAAAACAATATAATAATTTCAACATAAACACACACAGTTCAATTATAATTTCTGAAATCAAGATGTTGTTTTTACAAAAGTTTGAACCGATCTGTAGTATTCCCTTGAGTAATATGCACCGGCATTGAATTCCCACTGACCATGGCTCTGTACGTGGCCGTTTTCTGTATCATATTTGTTTTTGCTTGAGCTAACATGAATCCTGTCTGCTGCATATAATGTATGATAATTGTGTTGAGCATACTGTGAAAAAAATATATCTCTAGTGATTTTTTCACTGTTACAGTTTTGCAAGTTCTTGTCTTACAATTTTCTTGCTGTGTTGTTTTGCTGTGTTTAAATGATTGTATAAATAGTGTTTTTCCACATCTCCTGACTGACGTTTCTGCGCGTATTTGTTTTTCTGAATGTGTTCAGGTTCCGGGACACCCCAGTAGTGAAATCTTCCAGTCGGGAGCTGTGCTACATCATACTGGCAGGGATCTGCATGGGGTACCTGTGTACCTTCAGCCTCATTACCAAACCCCATGTAGTCCACTGCTACCTCCAACGGCTGGGAATAGGCCTGTCACCTGCCATGAGCTACTCTGCACTCGTCACCAAGGTACTGCATAGATTGACTTAAGGATTTGTGAAATGAGTACAAGATGTAGGGTGAAGCAGTTGAAGGGCTAAAGGAGTTACCTCTAAGGTCTTGGAGTACCCCTGTCATTAGATTCACTGGTGAGGTGGCAATTCTGAACAAGATGATAGCTTGGCCGTCTGAAGTGCTGTTTGCAGCATTGTTGAGAACCGCTCGTTGCTTTTTGAGTCCAGGGAGGTGTTTGGTTGTAATGTTAGTATATCCAGAATGAAACCGCAAAAGCGAACAGCAGTCAATGAGTGGCCTTGTGAAAGGGCTGCTGTTGATGATGATGACAAATTGCTCCAAATTCAACACAGCACATCCTTGGGTCCCCAGCCATACACCTGGTTAGTATAAAGTAGATTGGATGAAGATAACATGCTTCTGTCATCAATCTTCAATGGGTAACAGCTTGATATGTTAGAGACGGTGGACCTAATCAGAGAGAAATAGGGGCCATAGTCCCCTGATACGACAGATTGTCATTCCTTTGATGGTGGGGTTGATGTGCCGCATTAAATCAGATGCAGGGCACAGGTTCATTCTGCCCCTGTCCTTTAGGGAGAAAGGGTTTTGGGAACAGGGAGTTAGGATTAAAAAATAGCAGGTGACTGCAATGGCGTTCCAATAAGAGCTTACCTTGAGTGTATGCTTTATATTTTGACTCCTGTGTGCAATATTTATAATGTTTCTCACCTGTGTGTCTACACAAGGCCAATGGCAGCAGTGTAAGAATACAGAGAGCAGTTTTCCCTAACATGGATACAGTGTGTTCATTGCATATTTCATCAAAGGGTTCTAATGGTGTTTGCATTCTGACCCTAGACAAATCGCATCGCTCGGATTCTGGCAGGCAGCAAGAAGAAGATCTGTACAAAGAAACCTCGCTTCATGTCCGCCTGCGCTCAGCTCATCATTGCCTTCCTCCTCATACTGTTGCAGCTGGGCATCATCGTGTCTCTCTTCCTCATGGAGCCACCAGAGGTGAGCTGTCTGTGTGCCACTGTCTGTTTCTTTATTATAAGTACAAGAGTGCCTTGTTGAAAGCCATCAAAACAGGTTTACAGACAAATGAGAGTGATGGAAACATAAAGTAGATCCACTATTACTTTAAGAAGTTTCCTCATAATGAGGCCTTAATTCTCCACGAGTGTCTTTCCATTTCATCACTATTTTGTTAGAGGCTATTACATGAGTTGTTAAGTTAGCAAATCAACAGGTATGTGAGAATCCCAGATAATAGTGTTGTTCTTATCTAAAGCAATCAAACAATCCTGCAATTTTGTAATTATTTTCCTGCTCATAGACTTAAAATGCAGAACATCTCAAGTTGGCAGTGTAATAAATGGAAATGTTAGTTTGCTAATTTCTTCCACCATTTATTTTAATGAAGATGTTTACACACATTTGCAAACTGTTTTGTGGTAAAAAAAATAAATGGTGATTGTAGTAAAAGCTCGGTTAAGCTTTTAATCACCGCCTTGTTTCCCCCCTCTAATATCTAATAGGTGATCCATGACCACCCCAGCATCCGCCAGGTTAACCTCATTTGCAACACCAATAACCTGGGCGTGGTTGCCCCGCTGGGATACAATGGCCTGCTCATCCTCAGCTGCACCTTCTATGCCTTCAAGGTACCTGCTGAAATGTTTTTAACTATCTAAATTGAAGTTGCAAAAGTGTCAGAAAGCATGTTTTAAAATGTTGTTTGAAGCAAATGTTATTATTTGTAGAAACCTGCATACTACCTCAAGCTGCTTCACATGAGAGAAGTCGCGCAGACAGATTGTGAAAGCAATAATTGAACTGTTGTTTGTGTTTGGCGCTCTACCGCTTTCCACAGCAGTAAATTGAACACTTTATGACGTCAATGTTTGATTATATGTTGCCTACAGAAATCCATTTTCTGCAGAGTGTGAGGGCAGAATGGCAAAAAGAGACAAAAGCTGAAACACATAGCATGCCAAGCAGACAATTTAATCACGTTTGTGAACACAGCCACAGAGAGAGAAAAAAAGTGGTATAGTTGGTGCAGATTTATTTTTGTTAGCAAAGGTACCTGGTTAGCAGTGTGTTTTCTTATAATGTAAAGGCCTTTAATCAACCCTAACAGTGTCTTTTTTGGTTTCATTTTTCCCTTTTTGAAGGCATAATCCCCAAATGATTCAACAATGTTTAAAAATGTAACTTTCTTTCTGACTCTGTCCCTCTCTCCCAGACACGCAACGTCCCAGCTAATTTCAACGAGGCTAAGTACATAGCCTTTACCATGTACACCACCTGTATTATATGGCTGGCCTTCGTACCCATCTACTTTGGCTCTAACTACAAAATTATCACCATGTGCTTCAGTGTCAGCCTCAGTGCCACTGTGGCGCTGTGCTGCATGTTCGTACCCAAGGTAAGGCTATAGCTAAGAAACACCGTTTCTACATATACACTCATTTACTGATATGTCTCTATACATCTATGTATTTCATCAGTCTTCCTAAACTAAGCCTCAGAATATACAGTTTGTCTCACGGTTAGCTGTCCAAACTTTAAACACACTGGTTATTATTCTACATCAGTACACAATGTATATTTAATGACGGTATTTATAGCAACTATAGCCAAGAAATAATTAGTTTTTTAACTGTATACATTGAATTTGAGATTCATCCTGCCGAAGGTTTTCATAATGTGCACACAGTACACTCTGTCCTTAGAGTGGGAATGTACGGGCAACACTCACAGTACACACCAAGTTATTGAAAATGACTGTTCAATATCAGTTTTTAAATAATTGAGTAAGAAACTTTAAATTATATTTTCACCAACCGCACTGAAGTGAAAGGGGTTCATTTAGAATATTATCATGTTTATCCCAATAGCGGGTAATCCTCTTGATGCTTCAAGGGCAACGTTGGTGCTAAAACAACAGCAGAATAACAGTCATTATGAACAATTAGCTGCAGCTTCTTTTGAGGATTGTCTTTTTATAAGAGCTGTACATAAACAAGGTAAGCCATCACAGAGTTTATGACTTGACTCTCAAAAAAACAAATTACTACCAAAAACAGATGGCTTGATGTAGGTATTTGCTCTTTCTTTACATTATTGAATTCAGTGGTCTCTTTTTAGAAACATTTTGCTTTATAAGGATAATGAAATAATGTTTTATTTCACAACAGGTGTACATCATTCTAGCCAAACCAGAGCGTAACGTGCGCAGTGCCTTTACCACGAGCACAGTGGTGCGCATGCACGTGGGCGACGGCAAATCTTCCTCAGCCGCCAGCCGTTCTTCGAGTATGGTTAATCTGTGGAAACGTAAGGGCTCTACTGCAGAGAATCTCAGGTACGTCTGTGTGTGTGTGTCTTTGTTTTTGTGTGGTAGTGATTTTGTGTACACAAGGGCCTCATTCGGCAGGTTAATGCCAGGTTACTGCGTAGTTACAGTCCAAGGTACCATTTCTGTAATAGCCCCACTCTTCAGACTACTTATAGTGTGTGTGTTAGTGTGTTGTGCTCTAGCTCTCTGGGAGATTGATTCTCTGAACTCCCCAGAGTCTGCTTGACTGTTCCTGTGACCCTTACATGAACTGTAGACAATTGCCTAATAGAGACATGGCAAAGCAAGAGAGAGGTGTGCTAAGGAAGGGAGGGTGAGGAGAAAACTTGTGAGGATGGGGAGAGAAAATAAAAATCAGAATTGATGGTATAATCAGAGAAGAAGAAGAAATGGCTCAAGGAATACGGCTACGGGACATAATAACATACACCCAGCTGAAGGCCATCCGCAAGCCATCTACAGTGACAGGGAACCGATCAATGGACACAAAAGGAGTGACGCACAGCCACTTGCCCAGGATGAAAAGGGAGGAAAAAGACAAGAACACATTTTGGTTTGTCAGCGTGTTACTCGAGTTCACCCCGCTTGGCAAGCAAGATTTCAATCACGCTGTTATGAGAAATGTCAGGAGTTCTTCCATCCTGGCTCCTTTTTATTCCTCTCTTCCCCTCTCCCATCTCTTTTGGTCCTATCTTCCCCTGTGGGTGGTGGTAATTGGCAGGGCTGTCTCTCTCCTCGGTGCAGGGCTGGAAGCTGTTGCCTTTGAGATGCTGTCATTGTGTAGTCTGAACAGATGCAGACAGACATGAAACCAGCGAAACGGGGGGGAAATGGAAGAAGTACTTCAAAAATATATAAGAAGATGAAATATTCGACTGATGACTCATCCAAATGTTTGAACTGTTGAAGAGTGCATAGTTTACATTCAACAGGCATTCAAATGGCTGCAACATATGTAAGATAGGATCACTCAGGCGCTCCTTTAGTATGTGCAACATGTGTTTCTGTTGGTAGCATGTCAGGCTTGGCTCAAAGCGTTCTGTCCGAGACTGTCGCGAGTATATCACAGCACGATGTATGTGTAGGCGCAGGTCGGCATGTGCAGCATATGGATGTGCGTGCGTGTGCGTGATACAGAGTCTATCTATGTGTGTGTCTCCCCAGGGTGACTTAGGCTCTTTTCAACACCAGCCACGGTGGTGTGAGGTTTAATCAGAAGTTCCACTAAAGATTAATCACACTAATTAACCTGACAAAGGGATGAGAGAAAGGAAAGTGGGGGGAGGCAGGGGAGAGTGCTGTGACTGATGTGAAGTGGAGAAAATGGTAAGATGTAGGTAGAACAGAGACAGGAAGAGGGAAGCTGACAAAGACAAATGAAGAACATACTGTCGGGAAAAAATAGAATGGGAATATTAATTGCAATTAAACTGATTTTCTGTGATGAGTCAGGGCTTCATTTAAATATGTTTGTATCTATTAAATGAGGGATAATAAATAAGAACTAATGTAAAGCAGGCACAATTAATGCAATGTTTCTGCTATGTTTATTTTTGCTGTAGTAGTTTTTGAATAAGTGACGCAAACTAACAGGTTACTACTAAAAGGTGTTCTTTTAGATTTGTTATCCATACAAACAAGCAATTATAATGAACAATGTGATTCTTAAACAAATATGAGCAGAATATTTAAAAAAGCTATCTATTCTGAAGAAAGTGTACAGTAAATGATGTTGTCTCAGTATGTTAATGCCAACACTCATTTGCAAGACAAAAGGTAGAGCAGTGGGAAGAAGTGTTTTTTTTCTAAAAGTGTTTTAGAATATAATGTTCAGTGATCACCTGTTATCAATTGTAACGTAAAACACAGACATGCAAATCTAAAATGTACTTTTGTTTGTATCTAAACTGAATAAGATAGAAGTGAGTGCACCTTCTTATTTATATCATCAATAATCAGAAATGAAGTTCGTTTAATCAAAAACCAATGACATGTATTACATTAACATCAAAACAATCAATAAGCTGCTAATTAACTGACTACTGTAAATCTACCTTGAAGCTCTAGAAACAGACCCTCTTTCTTTCTCTCTTTCCCCTGCTGACCTCCAGCTCCAACGGTAAATCAGTGTCTTGGGCGCAGACGGAGCGCAGCAGTAACCGTGGAAACCACCTGTGGCAACGTCTGTCCTTCCACATCAAGAAGAAGGAGAACAACCAAACGGCCGTCATCAAGCCCTTCTCCAAAACCTCCGAGGAGCGTTACTTTGGGGGGGGTGACCTGCCCCCACACATGCCTCTGCCCTCCCTCCCCTCCATGTCTTCCCTGTCCATTCATCAGGACTCTGTCACCGACAAGACCCTGTACGAGCTCTCTGAGGCGGAGGAGCGCTACTCGAACACGTACCTGCCGCAGACGCCCTCGCCCATCAGCACCATCAGCCAGAGACTAGGGGCCGGAGTCGGGGACGATCACTCGATGACTGGCGTTCCTAACTACCCGAGCAGCATCTGCAGCGGGGGGAGCGTGAGCAGCGGGGGGGGCAGCAGTTGCGGTCCTGCCAGCAGCGGCTCTCTGGTGGTGGGGAGTGACGGGCGTCTGATTGTTCTGGACAATTACCCAGCACCGCATCCCAGCTCCCTGATGGATCAGATCAGCTGCGTGGTGAACCGCTTCACCGCCAACATCACGGAGCTCAACAGCATGATGTTATGCTCTTCTCCGACGCACTCGCACTCCAACAAGCAGCCCCCCCCCCTCTCCTCCACCAGCCGACCCCTATCTGTTGCCCCGGGAGATCCCGATGGCCCCGACCCTCACCACCCATGCTGACATCCAGCCCCTCCCCCCCGTCGAGACCAGCATGGCGGGCCGGAGCGGATGTCCTGTTCACTCCATTCCTCACTCACCTTACCCCCTGCCGCCTCACATTGGCCAGGCCTCCCCCTCTCTCTCCCCCATGCGAGGAGGCCTCATCCCCTGCCTCACCCACTCCCCTCTGAGGAGGGCCGAGTTGGAAGAGGAGCTTTTTGCTTTGACTCCGCCGTCCCCTTTCCGCGATTCCCTGGGATCTAGCAGTGGCTCGCTCATCTCAGAGACAGGCCTGTGTCTCCCCCCAGCCCCCTCCCATCCTCCCCCCTCCCCCCCTTCGCCCAGGTACAGTAGACTGACACTCAGAAACTACAGCCAGAGTTCATCCTCACTGTGAGGCAGAGTTTTCATGTGAAGAAAACGCAGATTTGAAGAGGAGTGCTCAAAAAACGACACGGTTGATATGAGTGAAGTATTGGAGGATGGAAACACTGAAATCCATCCGTCCTTACGTGAAACTAGAAGTAAAGGGGTCGTGGTAAAGGATTCGTGAACAGCTGGTTGATGAGGACACCAAGCTGCGGCAGTGTTTGTGTTTACATGTTTGCATTGAGATGCAAGTATGAGAAGCTTGCCCACGTCGTATTTTCTTAGTGCAGTTTATCAAAAGTGGGGCGTGAAGAGTTGCAAAAAAAAAAGGGCCACAATGACTTTGAGATGTTTTAGTGTCTGTAAAGTCAAAAATCATTCTTGAAGTTCTAGAGCATAGATTGTATATAAGAAGTGGTAAACTTGGTTTGTGGACTAACGTGTGGAAGCCTTGAGTACTGCATCTTGGCCGTCATCATCTTGTGTTTTTTGGAGTAAAAGGTGAGAATTTTGGACAAAAGGGTAACACATTGTTATATCTCTACCCTGATCGACAGGTCGCCCTAAAGCATGCCTTACTTTATCGTCTATTTTACTCAAAATGGGACCATCATTTAGAAACTGAATATCGTACCTTAATGAGCAAGACCTCAAATTAGCGACTAAAGATCATTAGGATTAGGGTCATATTCTAAAAGACTTCTATAGAATTGCAATGATTTATTATTTAGAAGACTTTGACCCCCGAAATTGAGAAGGTTCTAGGCTCCTTTGCATTGGCTTCACCTTTCAGACCCAAAAAGCTACATCCACTTGTTGTGTACAGTCTATGGTTTAGAGCTACATATATGTTAGGTTTGGGTAGTGGCCTTAAGGTTCTATGGCTATCAACTAATTAGTGTGTGTGTGTGTGTGTGTGTGTGTGTGTGTGTGTGTGTGTGTGTGTGTGTGTGTGTGTGTGTGTGTGTGTGTGTGTGTGTGTGTGTGTGTGTGTGTGTGTGTGTGTGTGTGTGTGTGTGTGTGTGTGTGTGTGTGTGTGTGTGTGTGGTGTGTGTGTGTGTGTGTGTGTGTGTGTGTGTGTGTGTGTGTGTGTGTGTGTGTGTGTGTGTGTGTGTGTGCATGAGTATGTTTAATGGTGAGATTAAACTCCTAAAGCATGTACGGACAAAACAAAGGCTATTTGCTGACACACACACACACACACACATAGGCGTGAGCAAACATATACACATACAATTTAAGGGAAAAAAACTGTAAATATACGAGAAGATATGGATTTTTCTTGGTAAAGAAAATCTTACATGTTTCTGACAGAAGTGCAATGTGTTAACATACCAGACTGTATGTTACTCTGAAGAACAGAGCGTTTTTTGTATTCATCCAGCTCTCTAATCTGTTCCCCTTACATTGCTTTTTTCTCCTCTCCTCTTTCTCCTGCTGCTTTCTTTTGTCCCGCCAGTCATTTAGTATTTTCTACTCTTCGAGTTTGTTTTCCTCAGAAGTTTTGAATGTATATTTTCTAAATGATTCCTGGAGCAGTTGGGACCAAACCTTTTGTACCTCCCTGTCTGTGACTCGAGAAAGAGCGAGAGGAGGGATTGACAGGACCAGGCCTTGTTTGAACATAAACATCTTAGTCATAAACTCTTGGATTATTACCAAATATGACTTTGTAGTTTATAGTTAGTGTATGACATTTGACAAGGGAACATTTATCATTTGGATCCCAGTCGTGACATTTTCTCTAAACGATCTGTCAGCAGGATATAATGGTCCTTGTTAAATGAAGATAGTGCTTTGAATGAGGCTAACTGGAGTTGCTAACATCTTGTGTGTTAGCGGCCACAGTTTGATAGACTCAAGCTGGCAGACCTTTTATCAGGGTCATCTCTTGCACATCTGAAAATACTTTTTTAGTTTTCTCCGTCAGACAAATAAGTGCAGAACAACAAAAGAGGCTCATATTGAATGGTCGTGCTTGAGAGCTGTATCGATTTTTCTCCTCGCTCAGAAAAGAGAGAAATTAAAAATGTCAATCTGTTGCTTTAAAGTAAGGCCTCACGAGAATTTCTCCAAAGTCAAATTAACTAATTTGGTAAAATGTTGCCAGTGACAAAATCCAAGTGGTACTTACACTTTCAATCAATTTGAGATGTTTTTCTAAAAATGTCTGTCGATGGATAAACGGAACCAAACTTGGAAAGATTGCAAAACCTTAAATGTCTAGTTTGGCTATTTAAGATTTGTGTTTAAACATATGCCTTTCAACGGAATATATTGTTCTTACATGTGCCAACAGAATTTCTGAGTACCCAGAGTAGTCCTGGGATATAAAATGTGCCGATGGATGCATTCACTAAGATGCTTTTGAGAAATGGGGCCTTGGCTTCGTGACAGCTCCTCCGGAAAAAAAAACGAAGGGTCAGAAGGTTGTGATACACGACACAACACAAACATTTTTCAACATTTTATACAATCTGCCCGAAAGTATATCTGACTCATTTAAAATGATTGAACTGTTTGTATCACAACAAAATGAGTTGTCCAACATGTTGCCTGTGTTTTCTCGTCCGTCTGCTGTACGATGCAGATGCAGTTCATGGTCTCATTGTGAGTGTAGTATTTCTGCTTTACAGTAGCCAGCAAGAACAAACTCAGAAAAAGGGATTCTGTAAATAATAAGGGCATGCAAAGACAGTTCTGTTTTGTTTCAGATGAAAGTAAATCTATTTACATATCAACAAAGGTAAAAAAAAAATGAAAAAAGATGTTTTTGAACTATGTGATGACATCATACAGTACCAATGTGTTACGACTACAGAAACTGTGTTACTACTCTTAATATGTGAGTGACCATTCCTATTCAAATGTCTTGTAATTCAACAATATAATAATGATTAATATTACGATGATTATTGTGCCAAAGGGGTTAGGGAGGGTCTAGATTACTAGCTCGTGGGTAGATAAATGGTTTCATACAAAAAATTCTAAAAATATAAATGTAAAACTGTTTCTATTGTTTTTGGATATTTTCTATATAAATATTCCATATTTTCCAGTGTTGAAGCAATATTTACCACACGTATACGAGGTGCGCATCTGAAGGGTTTCATAAACAATGTTTTCAATTGTTGTTCTTCATCCTGCTGTAATCTCTGCGAGGGATACATTTAGTAACTCGCAACTTCCCTATTTGTGCATTGTGATCCTCTCACTTTAGACTTGTTGTTCCTCTTCTACTGCTGTGTGTTTCTGGTCCAGTCTAAATCAGATTACAATCCACTGAAGACATAGCTGCAGTTTAAGAGAGTTAAGGAGTTGTGTGTGCGCCATAATTGTTGCTACCCTTTTTAGCTGTCTTTATATTTTATATATTCTCCTGTCCTCAAAGTAACCCCAGTATGTCTCTACAACTCAGAGCAACACAACAAACTTCTGCTTGGATCTTAAATGAGGAAAAAAAACAAATTGGGTCCCATAATCAGCATCTGAGATAATTGCACATGAGAGGGTTAAAAATGTACAAAGATAAAAGCACCAGAGGAGAACCGCTGGTCCTAATTGTTGACTAAATTGATTCTTGTCTCAAAGTGCTGTCTGTGCATCATTACCTCTACTCATCTAATTTTAATCGTCGAGGTCTGACCTGTTGTCAGAAAGTGAACCAGCGCTCTAGCTCAGATGCTATCGCTGAGGAGTTTCTTTGTGTGCTTCTGTCACTGGCAGTGTGGAAACATGCAGGGAGCTTGCTTCAGCACTTCAGCTGCATCTTATCAGCCCCTCTGGGTTAGGCTTGACAGCTCTGTGCTACCTCGGCAGAAAAAGACAGGATCACTGCTTGAATCTACTGCTGTCTTGTTCTCTTTGAGGGCTCAGTTCTGCAACATCTTTTAATAAAAATCAAGCGATCATTAAAAAGGAGTGCAGCAGGCTTTTTACAAAATTACAGTTTGAAAAAGCACCGAGTCATGGCCTTTCATATTTGGTGTGAAGAAATAATGCAGGCATTGAATTGTTAGGTCAGCATAAAGTCAGAGAAATATAAATGCTATCTAGCGTTTTGACCAAATTACATTTCAGACCCTCTTTCATCTGAATCCAATCTTTTTAGTGCTTTCAACACCTGGTGAGCTTTCAAACATTTTCCTTGACAAATGCCTCTAATGGTCCCATTTCAAAATAAAAGCAAGTCAAGCCATTTTGCTTTCTGCCCTAAAACTAACCATCACTTAACATTTGACCTCAAGGTTTAAAAAAAGATTCCACTCATATTAATCGGGTTTAATGTCAGTTATATTTATTTCCCCTAATGTACTCGCCAAAACATGAGTAAAATCTTACGCTCGTCACTAAGATGATCTCCTGATTTTTGTCTCTCAAAACTATGTTATTTTACATAAATGCACTCTAAAGAATTGGATTATTAATCCCTGCGCTCAAAAACACTTGTAATCCAGACATGCGCATCTACTGATGGGAGGGAAAAAATAAACACAAGGTCATTTAGTTTACACCGTTTACTTATCATGGGGCTGCAAATGTAATTTAGTTTTGGATTGCAGAAAACAGAATCGGTTGGCAGATTGCTGATTTACTGACGAGGGAGGCAGTTTTTCAGTCAATCAATCCCCCCCGCCCTGCCGAGCATTTGTCTGATTTGCTACAGAAAACAGGACTATGTTTACTGTGTAAACACCATGCAGACATATGGTTGAATGTTCTGTCAGGGCTGGAATGGAGACTCTTCTCTTCTTCTCAGTACTGTCACAGGCTCTTACATAATGATTATGATGTGTCATGATGAAGACCTTTGTGAGTGTCATTTGATAAATCTCACAAATAGTTTCTTACATTTTTAACAGCATTAATGGAATAAGTAAATCACAAAATCAAAATAATTTGATAAGCAGTATGACTGACATACTAACGGTACGCATCCCCAAGAGTGAATTTTGGTTAAAAATATGGGTAATTTAAGAGTTAGGATTATTATTTGATAGCAAATCTGAAATAAAAACCAAAAACAGAGGAACTTTACCCATTTTTTAATCAAAGGAATCTACTTTGGCTGCAGCCGGTTTAATCTACCTTGTTGCCCGAGAGTTGACAGCTCATCAAAAATCATTAACAATGTTTTTGTAAGTTGTGCGAAGCCGATGATTTGAATGTTGCTTTTTATAACGGAGTAATAATGTTTGATAAGCGGTCTTTCCCTCAGTCAATAGCGTAAAATCATTTTAGGCCATCAGTGTATGTTATATATTGCAGAGGAGAAGGAGTTGCGTTATAAGAGATTAGGTTTGTATTATATTGATAAGAGAGAAAAGTTTGTGTACGTGTTTATCTGGTTTTAGGATTTATGAGGATGTTGAATTATTAAGCAGGTCTGTGAGTGTCTTTATGGCATTATTGTTTTGCATACATAGCTGGCAAAATGCAGAATTTACAGTATTGTGTATTGATGGTTAGTAAAATGTATTTATTAGAGGGTTAAACCAAAACGAGCTGTGATATTGCACCATATAACGCAGAGTTGTCCTTGCAGGGCATGATGGGGGATGGGAGAAACTCTTTCTTTCAGAGAACATGGTTTTTATATTCTTCATAGATTATCATGTTTGGATTTCTGCTCTGGACAAAAACTCTATTAATGCCCCCCCGCTCAAAATGTTAAATAGATCCTATTTTCATTAAAAGTGTTAGAGGTATCAATAAGGAGATGAATGCTGCCTAGAAGTGATGTTTGCATTCGTACTGCTGATCGTGTTTAATGAGTGACTTCAGTCGTTGTGACGTTTTACAAGCATCTAAGTTAACGTTCATGTGTAGTTTTTTTTAGGAGCCTAAACTAGTTTATTCTTGACAAAGGCAGTCCATCTGCATATAAATGACGGCGCTGTGTTGTTTTCCAGTCTGTTTACAACCCAAGCATTGGAAGCGGTTAGTTTAGGCTCAGTTTTGATCAAAAGAAAATGATGACGGGCTTCCATAAACGTCATTGAAGGGAAGCGGGGCGAGCTGAATTCCCTGTAATGAATGAAGAATGTAATATATGTTTTTCTATATTCATTTAGCATTCACTCCATAAAATGAAATTCTATGATAAAAGTCTTTATTTATTTGAAAGAAATAGGGCTTGAATTGCAGCGTATCCCCAGATGTGTTTCATCACTGTTAACGCTCCTCCACTCAGTGCCAACTTTCTATCATCTTCTTATTTCAGGGGGGGGGGGTGGATAAACACTGCTGATATATGATTCAACTAAAGTGATATCTACATAAATATATTAAAATGTATATTTTTTCACAAGCTGTTTAACAAAGTCAACATCTTGTAAATGTGATAAGGCTTAAATGTATTACTAAATGAAGCTTTGTAGCGTTTATCCACCCTCGGGGACATTTGATCGTTGCTTTTAATGAACATTACCTTTGTTTTTTAAAGCTTGTTTTTTTGTGTTTTTTTCTCTGATGTTCAGAACTGTAGAATGTCATTTGATGCTTTGTATTGGTGTGATAATGGAAGATGGTTTTATATTTGGATATTTGACTCCATTTAATATTTTCACTATGGATCCAGCTGTTTGGGGAATACAGATTGAAGTGGCTTTTTAGTGGGGGTTGTAAACTTCAGGCAGATTTTATGTTCAATCTCTGTTTTTGCCAAATTAGCTTTAGACGTACAAAACTAGATTAGATGTTTTTCTACCAGAAAGCTTTGTTAACTAAATGGGATCCAAACTGGATTTCACATTGTTTTGTCACTGACTCCTGGGCCTCGTTCACAGCCTTTTTGGAGGTTCCCCACAGACCTGGCAGCGGGGAACAAGAGCAGTTCTAGCCAAACACGGTTCTTCTCATCTCCCAATTAATGAATCTTTATCTAAATTGGCCCCCGGCGATGCCTGTGAAGGCAACTCTTTGGGCTTATCTGCTGCCATTGGGAACAGTAAAGAGAAAGGAGAGTTGGCAGTGTTAGCAGGAGGCTCCCTGTGCTTTTGATACATCAATACAGTGTTCTTGTTTATCAGTAAACACCATAAGGATAGGCGTAAGGAGGTTTTTAGAACAGCAAGAGTTCACATTTGGTAATGGTTTTATCTTATGTGTTCAGTTGTTTTGGAGCAATACAAGCACATTTAACATTATATAACTATAGACAATAAATCCACTTATGTATCCAGAATGAAGGCCCCATCAACTCGTGCACAGTTGTGGGTACATCTATTTATAAATATATTTATATAAATTAAATATTTTGATATGGCCAGGCAGGGAGTGCAGATCATCAATGGGATCTGAGAAGAAGCCTGTGAAAAGGAGAACCAGTGAAACTACATTTCAGAAGAGCATCAGGTAGCTTCCTGCACATACCAGGGAGTAACTAAGACTGTGTTGGGTAAGGGAACACATGAATTATATCTTTTGTTGAGCGATACTCCTCTCTGCGAAAACACTGTGCTCCCATCACACCCTGGCATTACCAGGTGGATTTTTCAAAGTCACCATAGTTTGACTCGGTGAAGCACTGAGCAGCTTTCTTTAAGTGGAACAAAAATAAATCACAGGGCATTCATTAAGTCTAACTCACAGCTCTTCATGATGACATTTTTTCTTTCTTACTGGGATGTAACGCAACATTTCTGGGACCCTTCAGTCACTGTGACCGTGCAGCAGTGATGTGGAGTCAGACAGGAAGTGGGATATGGTGTGTGTGGGGGGGAGGGGAAAAGGAAAGGGTTTTTGCTATTTGATTCATTTTTTTGCAGTTGATAAATCATTGTGTAAGTCGACTACAAAGTACCTTTGAATCCTTATTGAAATCATTATTAAAAAAACTATGATTGACCTTGTCTTTCCATCTTTTTATTCAATCTTTATATAAAAGCTGCAACACTTTGAATACAAACCTTGTGTACCAACATGCCGAACATCCAACACCCATCTTTGACTATACTCATCAAGCTTTTGATCCTGCGTCAATATCACCAGTTAATCTTCACATCATAACTAAACCAAACTTTACATAATACTGTAAATATATCTACTACACAGGAATGTTGAATGATTATAGATTACAAGTGGTCCCTGCAACATTATTACAAAGATACCTATGAGTTTTGTTGTAGAAGAAATGTGTTAACTGACATTGAAAATAATACAGTAATATAAACTATTGTACACGGCAAATGTATAATAAATGAATACAGAATATCTTGTTATTTAGGATTTGCACCGATTTTGACCCTAATAAACAGCAACTCACATTAAATAAAAAAACATTTGAGTAAAATAAGATCCTCAAAGTGAGCTTAGATTTAAATAAAATAGAAAAATTTAAAAAAAGATACATACATGGATCCAAACCAATCCGTATATGTATCTGATCGTCATAGCAATAATCATGCAAAAGTTAGAAGTTGTTGATCTAAAACAGAGCCCTTAGGGTTCAGGTCTGGAGAATAAAACATTTTTCTAGCCTATAGTTTTCAGTCTCCATTCGTTTTATTTCATCCAGTTGTTGGACAAACTCCCAGTTTCCTCGCCCACAATATATGAGTCCAGCAGTCTGAGTGTCTGAGTGTCTGGCCTGTTGAAACCAGTCAGTGGAAACTGTGAGACAGCACCTCGAAAGCTCCTGTGATATTCACTCTCTCCTGCATCTCCTCACCAGCCACTGTGAGCGAGAGACACGCTTTGAATCAGCCCAAAAACATTCCATTTAGGTGAATGCATACAGATCAGAGCCGTGAAGTCTTTCATTCTCTATCCCCATCACCTTGTCGTCTCCCCACTTCACCCTCGTTTATTTCCCTTTTCTTTCTTTTTCTACACCTCTCAGTGCAGACATTGCTCTCTCCAAAATGAAATCGCCAAATTGTCGCAAATTACTCGCCATTCAAGTAAATGGAAAGGATAAAGAGGCAATGAGCAAACGGCAGAAATACAACAAAAAGAGAAACAAATAAAAGGCAGCAGGTAGAAATTGGTTTGTCACTACAATGGATACAATTTGAGTGGTAAAATGTTCACAAACACATTGATCAGCTCTGCTCATCACAGGTGGGTTTATTCAAGTATCATGAGTGCATCATTTATTTTTCTCTTGTGGTGCTCACACCATTTGTGTTTTTATCTCTTGAGAAGCATTTATTGACGATGAAAAATGTATGGACCTGAAATTGATTAATCAATACAATTATTGAATAGGCATGTAAACAGGTTGACAAGCTCTGTATTGCGCTTGTTAGAGATCCTGACCTTTTGTGTATGTTTTGTGCACAAGAAACCAAACAATACAAGTTGGAAGTATGAAGAGTAAAAGCAACATACTGAGAGGAAAGGAGAGAATACAAAAATGCATGACAGATCAAGTTTAGTCACTTTTTGTTTCAGTTTTCTCGTGTTATTCACAGCTTTTGTGTTTTTTTATCTCTTGAGGAGCATTTATTGACTGAAAGGTCCCCTATTATACTGTTTTTCATCAATATGTTATAGGTCTCAGATATATACAAAACATGTCTCTGAAGTGTTTGGCTTGAACGACCAAACGGATCATTGCAGCATTACCCATAATCCCCTCTGTTTCAAAAGTGCTGATTCTCTGTCTGTTACTTCAGATGAAAGTAAGGAGCCCCTCCCCACGCCCCTCTGAGAGATATTTGGTTACAAAGAACACAATGGTGCTCTAGGAGGAGATTCAGGTGATAAGGTGGGGGGTTACCTTGGTTTCTGATTGGCTAATGGTTACCAAGCCAACAAATCGTTATGACATCATAAAGTGGGCAAAATCCGATCAGCTCCTTTTCAGGTTTTTATATAAATGGATCAGGACAAAAAGTGAGCAAATATTTTTTCCTGAAACTTTCAGAATGTCTTTACACAGAGGGGACACATGTTGATGTATAAAATACATGAAAACGTGGATTTTGCATAATAGGTGACCTTTAATGCTCGAATATAAATAGTTGTTTCTGCATCTCCATTTAAGTGCAGTTGGAAAATTGAATGTCACAGATGGCATCATTCATAAATGAAGTAAAGATGCTGAATCTCTAACTGACTAATCAGTCATTGCCAAATGAAAACTGGAGATGAAATTAGGGAAAAGCAATACATTAACCTATAGTATAAATAAATAATCTACCTAAAGCAATATTTCCTAACTGTGGAGGAAATTCTTAAGAGAAAATGATAAATGATACATGGACAAAGTTTGTCTTTTTTCATATTTAATGTAATAAAGAAAGTCAATATACAAGTGAGATCGATCTCAAATGCAGGAACAACTTCATCCTCAGAGGATAAAGAAGTTCTGCACCCCGAACACAGTTTACAGTCTCAATATATATTCATTGATGCTTTAAAATGTACCTGTGGATATTATATATGATGCTGTAGCACCCTGGAGAGCAAACACACCGCCTTTAGTTTTCAATTCAACCTAATTTACTCAGTTTTTAAAGTGATAGGAAAATCAATGAGTGGACCTTTGGCTTCTTAAAATGGTGAGTAACCCTTTTACAGCGTCACACAGCATATAGTTACTGTAATCATTCTTAATTCCCATGTAAATGACATGTGGTGGGTTTAACCGTAGTCAGGTGGGCCCTATATATAAAGTGTGTGTGGGCATGGGGTGTCATGGCAGCATGTGGTTGACAGTGAGAGTCAGACTGTGTGTGTGGGCATTGGCATATATATTTGCTGCGTGTATACACAGCATGCATGTGTGGGCATGCACATATGTGCAAAGAAGGTGAAAACAACTGGTGTGTGTAGGTGTTTGCATATGGCTGAGGCAACTGACCGGATAGCAGCTCCAGAGGACCTCATTTAAATGTGAAGGGTGTAGCATTAACTCCACAGGGCCTGTGTGGTCAACCCCACTTTGTGATGAAGTGGCTCCACCCACACCTCCAACTTAATGATATACTGCTCTTGCATCCTTTTTCCAGCTAATCAATGTGTGTTTCAAGGCACATGATTGAACAGCTACATTCTTAACATAAGTGACATGAGGAGTCTAATAGCTTAAACAGCACGTTAAGATATTAATTAAAGACAGTTTAGTCATGGATGTTAATCAGGTATTTAACAGCTTCAGATATGATCCAACCGAGCTGAACTGAGTGAACAGTTTTATTAGAAATGTCATTATTACAATTATATACATTTCAGCAAATTTCAGTAATTTATTCAGAGTTTAAATTTGCATACATGTAATCTTAACCTCTACAAAATACAGGTTTGATCAGGCTCAGAGATGCTGCAGTTTCAAGGAAGGATATTTTTAAATGTGGTAGGTAGTGAGGAACTGTGCCGAGAATACCAAGAAGGGAAACACAGAGGCAGTCTTCTGCTCTCACACACACACACACAGACATCTCTCTCTCTCTCTCTCTCTCTCTCTCTCTCCTCCTCTATCCCTCCTTCTCTCTCTTCTCTCTCCTCTCTCTTCTCTCATCTCTCTCTCTCCTCTCTCTCTCTCTCTCTCTCTCTCTCTCTACACCTGTAAACACACTGACACACAGGTAGAGCTAAAAGGATTTGTCGGTTGAGTACATCTTCAAGCAAATATACTGAATATGTTGTAGTCAAAGCATCTCAAAATGTTTTTGCAGTCTTTTTAGATGGCATTGTTGTTGTTTTGGACTGTTTTAGGGCATTGGGCTTTTAGAAGCTGCGCAATTCTTCTTCTATATTTAACATGTATGGACCTGAAATTGATTAATCAAGAAAACTATTGAATAGGCATGTAAACAGGTTGAGAAGCTCTGTATTGCCTAACGCTTGTTAGAGATCCTGACCTTTTGTGTATGTATTGTGCACAAGAAACCAAACCATACAAGTTGGAAGTATGAAGCGTAAAAGCAAAATACTGAGAGGAAAGGAGAGATTACAAAAAATGCATGACAGAAGAGAACGTGATGAAAGAGAGAGGGAGCCAGATGAAGCCATGCAAGATGGGGGCAAATCTGTGGGTGCCAATATAACAGAACTGAAATTCACTTGAGTTTTCATTTCCTGCCGGTGGAAGCGAGAACAATATCAAGATTGAAACACGAGTTTCAATGAGTCACTCTCTGCGGGAACTCAGTGGGTTCAGACTGTTAACATTCATCCTCCTTCCGTCTCCCTGGTCCTCTATTTTGCGTCATTGCATAGGGACACAGTCACATACAACGAATAGCATACACATGTGCCCACACTCATAGATACACACAGATACACTGCCACACACACATACAGAGTAATGGCACTAATGAGCCTGCATGACTAATACCACTTCAGTCCCTTCTTCTGATGAGTGCTTATTATGGTCTGTCAAGAAGATGAGTCAGTCTATGTCATGGTTACTATGGTGATCAAAGCCCCCAGCACTTGCTTTAAGTGGCCACTGGCAAAAATAAAGCCTTTTAACACCTTTAACTACAGACTAATCGGGCTGCAATGACACATGCAAACACGCCTAAACACACACATTCAAACAGGCAAGTTGACAAGTGAAAAGAGAATTCCTCGACATGGATTATTAGAATACCTCAACATTATCAGCAAGATCTAAACAGCAGAGGTGAAAAAGAAACAAATGAACAAGAGCGTATTGTCCTATTTACAGAAAATAAGGGAAAGGTCATTTTGTACAATACAGGTTTTTTGCAACAAACTGCAGTTATGATCTAATTGTACTACTTGTAACTACTTAAACATTTCAAATGAAGCCTAAAAAGTATTTTTTGTTGGTGGAGTTTGGAGGTTGAGTTCAGAAATCTCACAGCCTGAGGAAGAAGCTGTTTTGTAGTCAGTACGTACAACATCGGATGCTTCTGTATCTCCTTCCAGATGGCAGCAAGGTGAGCAGGCTATTGCTGGGTTTTGTATCTTTTAATTTCCTTTGGAACAAAGTGCGCAATACAAAATAAAGGTACGTTAATACATACAAACACACCCACGTATAGCCTATATATCGATATATATATATATATATATATCGATATATATATATCTATCGATATATATATCGATATATATATATATATTATATATATATCGATATATATATATATATAATATATATATAATATCGATATATATATATATATATTATATATATATATATATATTATATATCGATATATAGACACATTCATGCACACATATGCACCTACATTTTCATTTTTTTTTCATTTTCAGTCTTTATTTCGAACAGATTAACAAATAACAAATATGAAAAACAGAATACCGTATTGTTATAATACAGTATTTATCCACATTCATGGTAATATTTGTATATTCAACAAAAAAATATCATATATATATATCATATTAACTCGCTTTTCATAATATACGTATACTTTCAGACCTTTACTGTCTGGAACATAACGTGTATATCTTACAGCATGTTTTTTTTTATATATACATCTATCTATATATCTATATATAGATATATATATATATATCTATATATATATATCTATATATCTATATATATATATATATATATATATCTATATATATATATATATATATATATCTACAGGTACTATTATTTTTCATCACCCTTTTTAACTATCATCAACCATGAATGTATAATAGTCATCAACAAGAAGCAACACCTACCTCGGTTTGTATTTTTTCTTGATTTTTCTGTAACGCTACTGCGCATGCCCCCAGCTCACAGGTCATGTGACAAGGAAAATGAAACCAAAAAGCGGCAGACAAAGAACGGTTTAGGGCGAGAGAAGTACTGTACGTGTGTTGGTTTTCTTGTTAGCTTAAGTCTCTTTAACACATACTTAAAGTGTTAAAATAACGATACGCTAGGTATAGTGCGCTGAGAGGTAGTATATGCGTTACATATGTAGATTAAATAACTAAACTAAATAGATGCACTCGAGCTTATGTTTTGGAAATACGGTTAGAATAGCAGCAGGTTTTAAAGAAGGGCGCTTGCTTGTTGTTGAGCTACAGTGAATAATCTTGACCCTAGAAGCTGAAGAGTGTATCTTTGTCTGAAAGTTTCAGGTTGCATAAATAGCAGAGCACACAGAGGACGGGTGTAACAGAGAAGTTAGCGCAGGTAAACAAACAAGGGTCAAACTTTAAGGCTTTTATCTGAGACCCAGAACTAGCTGCGTAGCTATTAGGTGTGTGTGCAGGTAAGCTAGCTGTGTGTGAAGATGAGGTCGAGCGGTTTGCTAGTGTGTGTGCTCCTGCTTTGGGTTGAAGGCAGCTGGGGGGACACACCGGCCAACTGCACCTATGAGGACCTGCTGGGGACCTGGGTGTTTCAGGTGTCCAAAGGAGGACACGACAAGAACATCAACTGCTCTGCTGCAGGTAAAGGTAAACACGCCAACACAGTATTTAAATTATCTCATTATGTGACTGAGGAGTGAGACTGAGAATAGTTTAGCTATTTGGAAATCAGCTGACATGTTGGGGCCTGTTGAGTTTTGGGCAGACACTAAAGCGGAATGTTGACTGTAGTCTCGTTTGAATATGTCAATTTTTTTTATGGCTTGCACTTTTTAAACGATTTTGTAAATCTTTATTTTAAAACTTTTATTCATGTGCCCTTCTTTATAGGCTGCTAACGGTTAACTTGTAGCTGACATTGTGTGTGTTTCTTGACCTGCCAGTAGACTACAGATGAACTTTAGTATTAAGCTAACTCTTTGTCTTGCTCAATATGTTTTCATACAAACAAATATAGATATACACATATTCTCTACTCTTCCTATTGTGTCTGCATCTGTGATTTAAGTGTTTGAGCATACAACACATGGGACTTTCAGCTGCTTTCACTTCCACATAGTGCCAGACAAAAACTCGTACTTGCTCAATGTATTGGCATCCATGGGATCACGTTTTTATTTTTTTTATTTTTTTTAACTTATGGTTTAATCATTTCCTGACGTTAAACTCTACATTGTATGTTTTGGTGTTCCTCCTCAGCCACGGTTGAGAGCACGGTGACTGTGACCCTGGAGAAACCGTCAGTATCCACAGATGAGCTGGGGAACAGCGGCTTCTTCACCCTCGTCTACAACCAGGGCTTTGAAGTGGTCATCAATGGCTACAAATGGTTCGCCTTCTTCAAGGTAAAACATGCATTGACACAATTCACCTATTTGAGACAAAATGTGAGTATTATGTCATGGTTATTCTCATGCCCGGCGCCGTGGGAGGGCCAGGCCCTCCCATTTGACATTCCTGCCCTCCCCAAATAAACACGTTTTTTATTATTTATAAAAATGGAAAAATATATTTATTTTATTTTTTTAATTATAAATAAACTGTGAACTTTTATGCTACAATGTATGTGATGTCAGAACAAAAACAAAAAATCGCAGGCTAGTCAAATAAATGCATGTGTGTGTTGTGATTCGTCCCCATTTAGACCAATCACAGCGTCACACTCTGCCGCCTATTCTGGATTTGTTTATTGTGCATTCTGTAGACTCCCATTTATGTTTGAATTACAAAATGGACATCAGAAATTGGCTTAAAAGGTCTAAGGATTTATTAAAACGAAAGAAAGAAGCGCACTTTTGCCGCTGCATGGTACAACAACAGACCATGGCTTGAATATTCGTTAGAAGCAGACGCAGCCTTTTGTTTCCCCTGTAGACAGTTTAAAGTCAATACGTCTTCATCTGATGCAGCTTTTACTGTCAAAGGTTTTTGCGACTGGAAACATGCATTACAGACTGATAAAGGACTGCTAAGGCATGCCGCATCAAAAGAACACATTTCATGTGAGAGTGTGTGGAGAGAGACGGTTTTGTGTGCCCTCCCATGAAAATCATATGCCCTCCCTTTAGATTTGTTCTGGCGCCGGGTCTGGTTATTCTGCAAAAACGACTCATTTCCTGGTTGGTTTGAAGCTCGTGTTTCAATCTTGATATGTTCTCACTGGCAGGAAATTAAAACTCAAGTGACTTTCAGTTGTGTTAAATTGACACCCACCAATTTATTCCCTGCATGGAAGGCTTTCTGTGTCTCCCTCTCACCATCACACTTTCTGTAAATCTGTTATAGTTTTTAGTTTCTCTCCTCTCAGTTGTGTCATCCCTATACTTCTGACTTGTGATGTTTTTTAATACAGTCTAGTAAAAATGCTTGCAGCAAACAATTTCATATCCTCTTTTTGCACTTTAGCTTAGCTTGTTTTATACACATCATCTTTCTGTGAAAGCCCAGCTGACCACAAACTTTATGTGGTCAACGTCCAACTCATCATGCATCACTGCCTGACATTAATGGTTTAGTTTCACTGTCACTCATTTTCCTCTCTCCTTATCTGAAATGTGGTTAGGGGTTATCTTTAACATCTTTGATGTGCACTAGGCCAGGCTGAAAGGAATTAGAAATAGGCACAGTTTAAAAGCAGCTATATTTGAGGTTGATCTTTTCTCATGTGACATTTCCCATCACTCATGTGACACTGAGTTTCATTTCATTTTTATTTGTTCTGCTCATGGTACGCAAAACCCAATGTACAATAATTGCCAACAAAACATGTCTCTACAAACACACCATTGAGCGAAAGGGAGCAGGGAGAAGAAAAATCGTATATGGCCTGCCCCTTTCTAAAAAGAAAATATAGAAATAGATGGTCTGCCCTTCATAATAATAAAAAAAAAATAAAAAAAAATTCACAGCCAATCATAACAGTATCTTGGGATACTAAGAGAAACACAAACAATACTTATTTCCCACTTGACGGTTAACGGAAAGAAACAAAAGAACAACACCAAAACATCACAAAAGGAAAAGTGCAACACCCTCATCTGAGTCCTATTGAAGTTGAAGGAAGTGCCATAGCCTGTCTGTTTCTAACCCGTGATTGGATTAAAGCTGTTCATATTTAGTTCAACTTTCCTATTTTTCTAGACTTGACTAGGCTAAAAGTAGCAAGTTGTGAGGATTAGGGAGGTTTTTGTTGATTAAGACTTTGGATGGAACATAATAACGAAATATATTTTGAAAATATATTACTTTAGGAAATAATCTAATCATTCAGGTTTTGTATTTACATAAAATTGCATATTGGACACCAAACGACTAATCTGATTGTCTCACTTCACTTGCAGTACACTGAAGATGGGTCTAAGGTGACCAGCTACTGTGACCAGACCATGCCGGGGTGGGTCCATGATGTCCTGGGACACAACTGGGCCTGTTTCGTGGGGAAGAAAGTGAAATCAGTACCACCCCAAATAGATTACAAACCACTCTTCAGCAGCAGGTACGTACGTTATAATAGCTAGGTACACAAGCTAACGTAACTTACACAAGCTAGAGAGTAAAACATCGGAATATTATTGTGTAGAATCTCTAAACACATGCAATGCTGAGGATCTCTGCTTTCAGTGAACTCTGCAGTTTTGACCTTTCCGCTTTATTTATACATTTCTAGTCCCTTCTGTGATGTGAGCCCTCACCCTCAGTAGGCCATTCATAAGGGCCTGGAATCTAAATTCATATCTGATATTAAAGCATGACCGTTCCTTACATTTCCTCACATGGAGGAAGCTTACAATAGCTACTGAAACATTTATACTTTGCAATTATAATCTGTAAATAACACACTCTGCAGGTATCCAGCATGCAAATTGTGACAACTTTTGTCACAATTTACAAGTTGTCTCTAGGCTGGCGTGGATATTTTCTGCACATGATTCTGTAGTTGAGGGTGTGAACTCTGTAGGTCTGCCTTGTCAGATAGTAATCTGGATGAAACATACACTTATGGTGTTGGGAGTTTTCCTACCATCAACTTTGAATTATGTCCTTAGCACTCCAGGGAACATTACATTACATTGCATTTAGCTGACGCTTTTATCCAAAGCGACTTACAATAAGTGCGTTCGTCCAACAAAATACAACTTGAAGAAAACAGAATCATAAAAGTACATCAGGTTTCATAGAGCAAAAACATTTCAAGTGCTACTCAACTGGCTTTAGAAAAGCCAGTCCTTTATTAGTATAAAAGTGCTTCGTTAATAGTTCTAACGCTCGAAGTGGAGTCGAAAGAGATGAGTTTTCAGTTTGCGCCGGAAGATGTGCAAGCTATCTGCCGTCCTGATGTCAATGGGGAGCTCATTCCACCATCCTGGAGCCAGGACAGCAAACCCACGTGTTTTCGCCGTTGGGAACTTGGGTCCCCCTCGCAGCGAGGGCGCAGCAAGTCGTTTGGCTGATGCAGAGCGTAGTGCACGCGCTGGGGTGTACGGTTTAACCATGTCCTGGATGTACGAAGGGCCAGATCCATTCGCAGCATGGTAAGCAAGTACCAGTGTCTTGAAGTGGATTCTAGCAGTTACCGGAAGCCAGTGAAGCGAGCGTAGGAGCGGAGTAGTGTGGGAAAATTTAGGAAGGTTGACGACCAGACGAGCCGCTGCATTCTGGATGAGCTGCAGAGGTCGGATGGCACATGCAGGTAGACCAGCCAGGAGGGAGTTGCAGTAGTCTAGGCGTGAGATGACGAGAGCCTGGACCAGAACCTGAGTCGCTTTCTGTGTCAGCTGGGGACGTATCTTCCTGATGTTGTAAAGCGTGTATCTGCAGCAACGGGTTGTAGCAGCGATGTTTGCAGTGAAGGACAGGTTGTTATCTAGGGTCACACCCAGATTCCTTGCAGTCTGAGTCAGGGAAACAACTGAGGTGCCGATGTTGATTGTTAGGTCAAGAGTGGGACAATCTTTTCCCGGAAGGAAGAGCAGCTCAGTCTTGTCAAGGTTGAGCTTGAGGTGATGATCAGACATCCACTGAGAGATGTCATCTAGACAAGCAGAGATGCGTGCGACGACCTGGGTCTCTGAGCGGGGAAAGGACAGAATTAATTGGGTGTCATCAGCGTAGCAGTGGTAAGAAAAACCATGCGGGCTAATGACTGATCCGAGCGAGTTTGTGTACAGGGAGAAGAGGAGGGGACCAAGAACAGAGCCCTGAGGGACCCCTGTAGTTAATTGACAAGGGTCGGACTCAGACCCTCTCCAAGTCACCCTGTAGGTACGGTCTTTCAGGTATGAGGTGAGGAGGGAAAGTGCAGAGCCTGAAACTCCAAATTTTTGGAGAGTGCGAAGGAGGATCTGATGATTCACCGTGTCGAATGCAGCAGACAGGTCCAACAGGATGATGACAGAGGAGAGGGATGCAGTTTTGGCAGTGTGCAGTTCCTCCGTGACAGCAATGAGAGCAGTTTCTGTGGAGTGACCTGCCTTGAAACCAGACTGGTGCGGATCCAGAAGGTTGTTCTGATTGAGATAACAGGAGAGTTGTTTAAAGACAGCGCGTTCAAGTGATTTAGACAGGAACGGGAGGAGAGAGACAGGCCTGTAGTTTATAACATCAGACGGGTTGAGAGTGGGTTTCTTTAGGAGAGGGTTTACTCTTGCCTCCTTGAGACTGTTTGGAAAGTGACCAGAAGTGAGAGAAGTGTTGATGAAATGGGTGAGAAACGGTAGAATATCAGGAGCGATAGTCTGAAGGAGGTTTGAAGGGATAGGGTCCAGAGGACAGGTGGTAGGGCGGGCAGAGGTAATGAGGGTAAGAACCTCACTTGGAGAGAGAGGGGAAAAGGAGGTAAGTGTGTTGGTGGAAGGAGGGTCTGGTGACCCAGCGGTGAGTAAAGGTGAGTCAGAAAAAGAAGAGCGAATATCATCAACCCTTTTTTCAAAGTGGGTAACAAAGTCGCTTGACAGAAGTGAGGAGGGGGGAGGAGCTTTTGGAGGGTCCAAGAGGGTGGAGAAGATGGAAAATAGTTTTTTAGGATTGGAATAGGAAGATTGGATCTTATCTTGAAAGAAAGTGCTTTTTGCCTGAGAGATCGAAGCAGAGAAAGAGGAGAGGAGAGCTTGATAGGTTAGGAGGTCGTCACGGTGTTTGGATTTCCACCATTTCCGCTCTGCTGCCCTAAGGACGGTTCTATTAGCACGCAGTGCATCATTTAGCCAGGGAGCAGGAGGGGACTGACGAGCCTGCCGAGATGTGAGAGGACAGAGCGAGTCCAGAGTGGATGAGAGAGTAGAGAGGAGAGTTTCTGCAGCAGAGTTTGGAGGCAGGAGTTGGAACGAGTCAGAGGAAGGGAGGGCTGAGAGCACCGACGAGGCAAAGGTAGAGGGGGAGAGGGAGCGAAGGTTACGGCGGACAAGTGCAGGATGAGAAGAGATTAGTTTGTTATGTTTGGAAAGGGATATAGAGAATGAAATGAAGAAGTGATCGGATGTGTGGAGCGGGTTTACAGAGAGGTTAGAAGTAGCACAGTTCCTTGAGAATATGAGATCAAGGACATTGCCAGCTTTATGAGTCGGTGGGGACGGAGACAGTGAGAAAGCAAAGGCGGTTAACAGAGATGTTAGTTCGTCTATCTTCCCCGTCTGGAGGTTGAAGTCTCCGAGAAGTACAGCGGGAGGACCAGTTTCAGGGATGTGTGAGAGGAGATTATCTAATTCCTCCAAGAAGTCTCCCAAGGTGCCTGGTGGACGGTAGAGAACAACAATGGTTAGCTGTATAGGATGGGTTACTGTGACGGCATGGAATTCAAAGGTGGAAGGAGTGAAGTTAGGTAGCTTGAAGAGGGAAAAGTTCCATTTGGGAGAGAGCAGGAGACCAGTGCCACCTCCTCTGCCAGTTGGTCTGGGTGTATGGGAGAAGGAATATGCTGTGGAGAGAGCTGCTGGGGTGGATGTGTTGGATGGAGTAATCCAGGTCTCAGTGAGAGCAAGGAAATCCAGAGACTGCAGGGAGGCGTAGCCAGAGATGAACAATTTAGCTGTAAACCTCTTTATGAAGTTGTATCAAAAACTGGACAATGCTTTTGTTTGTGTGACACACAATACCTTTATATGTGACTGTGTTCAACCTCCAGGCTGCTCGAGAAGCCGTACAAACACAACCTGGACTTTGTTGATTTAATCAACTCTGTCCAGAAGTCCTGGAAGGCTGCGGCCTACCCCGAGCACGAGCTGTTCACTCTGAGGGAGCTGCAGTACCGCGCAGGAGGGCCCGCCTCCCGCATCCCTCAGTGAGTGTTCACCTGCATCTCCCATAGTATATCACAATGGGAAAAACACATGAATGCACATTATTAACAAGTAATATTTGTCTCCTATGTCATAACTATTGTGCTAAATTACTATTTAAACTACTCAATTATTACATTTAAAATGAGCCCTGCTTAGCTCGTTGCATTTTTTTTTAGTAAGGAGGTGTGTAGAAGTGCTTTTATACACACTACCAGTACACCATCAACTGAACAGATGACGGTTATTGGCAGATGGTTGCAAATGTGGAAGGGCTTTTATTGCATTGTCAATTTATAATGTGATTCAGCTGCACTATTTCTTAAAGCACTTCCTTGTGTTGAAAGGTGCTATATAAATAAACTTGTTTTGCCTTGCCTATTCTAATATCCAAAACGTTTATTTTGGACTTTTCTTTTCATTCTAGAGAGAAAAGTCCATTGGCTATCTTTTAGAGACCTAATCATTCAGAACAAACACATTCTTACAATGGTAGAAAGAACAGTACAATGGACATCTGCTTGAATTGAACCCATCTGGTAAAACATTCCAATATTACTTGGTTTAACAGATCCACCTTTAAGTTGTCATGCCTTAATTTCTATATTATGAGGCGTTCTGTTTAAAACAGTTTGTCCATGCAAAATTTCTTAACGTAATTTTTATTTAATTCTGATTCTTACTTTTTCTCTTTAGGCGTGTTCGGCCTATGCCAGTCAAAGCTGGTTTGGCCAAGATGGCGGCTGCTCTACCTGAGCGCTGGGATTGGAGGAACGTTAATGGCGCTAACTTCATCAGTCCTGTGCGAAATCAAGGTGAAACTCAATTGCTGTCCCTCATATCCTCCTGGAAAAAGGGAAAAAAGTGTCTTCCAATTATTTATTTTTTTCTCCTACCTATTTATGGTTAAAAAAAACATCTTGCAATTTAGACTTTTTAAATGTAATTGCATTTGAAATGTTACAGTATGTCCACTGTAGAGGACGTCAGGACCATTTTAGTGTGAAAAGACAGCCTTAATTAACAGATAAACGATATAACGTAGTATGCTTATATAGCAGTGCCGAGCCGTCAGGGCCCTCTAGGCCCTCTGTGAGGGCCTAAGATATTCTAAAAAATAATATTTGAAAACGTTAAAAAAAAAAACATTTAAAAAAAAAATATTATTTTTTATATTTTGTTGTTGTTACATTTTTCATTAGTTTTACCAAAATAACTCGATTTAATTGTATTTAAAATAATATTTCCAAAGAAATAAATCCTTCGAATCTGCCTGTTCAGTTTCTGTTGGAATGTGAAGGGTTAAATGCCGTCTCTACGGGTTACGGCCCGTCCACACTACAGCGTCAATCTGCCCATTCACTTTGAATGGGGTGACGTCACGTTGCCGCTTTTTTTCGCCGAACTGAATTGTGGGTAGCATAGCGGTCCGTCTCCGGCGTCAGAAGTTGAACAATGTTCAACTTCTGACGCCGGAGTAGCCAGCGCCAGCCAATCAAATCCCGTTTCTGAAAATCTGACAGCTCAAGCCGTAGCCAATCAAACCGCGTCTAAGCTAGAGATATCCCGCCGTTCATTTCTATATTTCAAAAAAAGATGGAGGAGAAACTAATTATCGCCGTAGCAAATCACCCGGTTTTGTATGACCAGACCCTCTTCACCTACCGGGATACAAACCGGAGGAACCAGGCATGGAGGGAGGTGGCAGAGACAGTGGGTGAAACTGGTAGGTTTTCGCCTGTTTGGGGAGTTTATATATATATTGCTCCCATAAAATCCCCGGGGGTTTTTGCTTTGTATGTAGGGGGCGGAAGATTCATGTGATTGGTTGTTGGTCACGTTGCTTGAATAACATCCCCAAGCTTCAGACACGCCCAGCTCCAAGCTTTTTTTGAAGCTGTAGTGTGGACGCTCCGTAACGGAGCTACTGTGAAGACGGGAGAGCTTGTTGGTCCCTCTCTACATTCACAGAGGGCCAGCTATAGTAACTCAACGAGAGAGTAATGTCAAATGACAGTACAATTGACCAATCATATCTTCCCTCTAAATGGGCGGGCTTTATTTTCGCGGGCTTTATGACAGGTTCCGCCCGCTGTGAGGTCTATGCAGGGGCGGATCTACCGGGGTGGCATGGGGTGGCAACTGCCACCCTAAACAATAGCCTTGCCACCCCAGCTGCCACCCCAGTTGGCATCTTTGTTTTGAAAGAAAAGTTGTGGCTCATCGGACATTTATGAGAGAAAGTCTCTAATGTCCGAGTGCAAGTGAATGCAGCACAAGATGCACGTCATGTAACCCCTCCCCCGGTCCTGGCGCGAGAGTGGAAATATGATTGGTGGCGAATTCACTTGAACGGGGCGGCGCAAAACGAGAAGCGTTTCGGACCCAAGCACTGAAGGAATGAGGTAGTTGCGGTCTACAATGACAGAGAAGAGAATGTCAAGTTTGGCTGTACTCAGCATTGAATCAAAACGCACTACAGCTGTTGATCTTAATAAGTTTGTGAGGCATTTTGATGAACAAAATAGTAATCGCCGCATTCAGCTGTAATAGACATGCCAACTTGATGCTCTGCTCACGGATGACTCGATGAGAATAACAAACTGTTAAGATGATGACCTTGTATGCGTGTATATTTTTTTCTTTGAGGGGGTCTGCCCCCAAAAAAACAATTTTAAGTCCTGAGAAAGTAAAATAAGACGGTGTGTAAAACTACACTGCCCAGCCAACAGAAAGTAACCACTTTGATTTAACTAGGCCAGTAGGTAAGGACCTTCCACTGGATAATAACTGCAGCGATGTATATGTTTTAGCTGAATACACGTTTTTTAACCCTAACTGATGCAGTTAGTCACTTCTTTAATGTTTGTTCTTTCTGATGTAAAGTCAAGGTTGTAACTGTATATCAATAATGATATAATTACTTGTTTTTCAAATTTGAAGGAGGGTGAGCAAGCATCTTGATGAACATTCATCATTAACTCCTCCAAAAAATATAGTTTATTCAATAATAAATGAATATGTGAATCATAACAGTGATTGACAGCTGATAGGAATAATATGATTGTTAATAGTATCATATTCATTCAGACAAACATCGATGAGACAGTTAATTAATGTACTTATTGCAGCAGTCTGCATAGATTTGGTACCCCTGCTGGTCTAAGTGAGACAAACTCATTCAGTTATTGTTCAGTTAAAATTCATTAAATTACGTCTGCTACCTTATATGTAAGGCTTTACTGATGTGCCACAATAATATCACCTATGTGATTGAGTTAAAATATTAATATTGTGGCTTTCCAAGTTAACATTGATTGTAGGGGTGTAACGGTTCACAAACATTTCGGTTCGGTACGTACCCTCGTTTTTAGGTCACGGTTCGGTTCGGTACGTTTTCGGTACAGCAGAAAAAATTATCACAAAACATTAAATATTTTTTTTAAATTATTATTAAACTGACTAATGTATTCAAATAAATACAAAATATAGTAAAATAAACATTAAGGTGCAGCATTTCGATGAACTGAAATAATATGTATTTGAACTGTACTAGTACCTAAGCAGCCAGCTTGACATTAGGACTTGCTTTTCATTGTATTTTGTTGTTCTAAAGAAAGATGAACTTGTCCACATTGCTTGCTGAAATGGCAGATCTGCTGGCACTAACAATGTCTCCTGCTGTGGAGAACACCCTCTCTAGGGACAGAGGTAGCACAGCCAGGTAGCGCTTTGCTAACATGGCAACATAAGGATATTTGGCGTTTGTAATAGCTTTGGCTCGGTCTGAACTTTCTGCGAGTGGTGGAGGCTTACATGCTAGTGGGAGTTGGGTTTGCACTTCAGTCTTTTTTCTTTTGGTACCGGTGATATTCACATTCGGGTGATGCCTTTTCAAATGAGTGTGATGTATTGCCAGCCGCGTAACCAATGTTAGTTGAACAATGTCGACAAACAGCTTTGGTTCGGTCCACCTGTCTTTGTCCGTCATCCTTGTACGTAACTGCGAAACCAAAATGTTCCCAAAACGGAGACTTCAATGATGCTGGAGGATTTTCAGCTCAACTTTATCTGCGTTCGCTATTTCCTCAAATTACTGACTACATTTGAACACATCCCTGTGACCAGCTCTCATAGTATGCCTCTCGTCCAATGAAATGACTTGGTCGCTCTATGATATATACCTGAGATTACTTCCAGAAAGTTGTTCTCAATTTTTACGTTTAACGTTATATTCGTTCGGTACACACGTGTACCGAACCGAAGGCCCGTACCGAATAATTTCAGTACGGGTACGTGTACCGTTACACCCCTAATTGATTGATATGATTGCGATTTCAATCAGCATATACTTCTGTCAGGGGATGCCCCTCTAAATGGGCGGGCTTTATTTTTCGCGGCTTTATGACAGGTTCCGCCCGCTGTGAGGTCTATGCAGGGGCGGATCTACCGGGGTGGCATGGGGTGGCAACTGCCACCCTAAACAATAGCCTTGCCACCCCAGCTGCCACCCCAGTTGGCATCTTTGTTTTGAAAGAAAAGTTGTGGCTCATCGGACATTTATGAGAGAAAATCTCTAATGTCCGAGTGCAAGTGAATGCAGCACAAGAGACGTCTTGTAACCCCTCCCCCGGCCCTGGCGCGAGACTGGAAATATGATTGTGGCGAATTCATTGAACGGGGACGGCGCAAAACGAGAAGTTTCGGACCCAAGACTGAAGGAATGAGGTAGTTGCGTCTACAATACAGAGAAGAGAATGTCAAGTTTGGCTGTACTCAGCATTGAATCAAAACGCACTAAAGCTTTGGATCTTAATACGTTTGTGAGGCGTTTTGCTGAACAAAATGGTAATCGCCGCATTCAGCTGTAATAGGCATGCCAACTTGATGCTCTGCTCACGGATGACTCGATGAGCATAACAAACTGTTAAGATGATGACCTTGTATGCGTGTATATATTTTTTTCTTTGAGGGGGTCTGCCCCCAAAAAACAGTTTTAAGTCCTGAGAAAGTAAAATAAGACGGTGTGTAAAACTACACTGCCCAGCCAACAGCAAGTAACCACTTTTGATTTAAACTAGGCCAGTAGGTAAGGACCTTCCACTGGATAATAACTGCAGCGATGTATATGTTTTTAGCTGAATACACGTTTTTAACCCATAACTGATGCAGTTAGTCACTTCTTTAATGTTTGTTCTTTCTGATGTAAAGTCAAGGTGTTAACTGTATATCAATAATGATATAATTACTTGTTTTCAAATTTGAAGGAGGGTGAGCAAGCATCTTGAGTGAACATTCATTCATTAACTCCTCCAAAAAATATAGTTTATTCAATAATAAATGAATATGTGAATCATAACAAGTGATCTGACAGCTGATAGGAATAATCTGATTGTAATAGTATCATATTCATTCAGACAAACATCGATGAGACAGTTAATTAATGTACTTATTGCAGCAGTCTGCATAGATTTGGTACCCCTGCTGGTCTAAGTGAGACAAACTCATTCAGTTATTGTTCAGTTAAAATTCATTAAATTACGTCTGCTACCTTATATGTAAGGCTTTACTGATGTGCCACAATAATATCACCTATGTGATTGAGTTAAATATTAATATTGTGGCTTTTCCAAGTTAACATTGATTGTAGGGGTGTATGTAACGGTTCACAAACATTTCGGTTCGGTACGTACCTCGTTTTTAGGTCACGGTTCGGTTCGGTACGTTTTCGGGTACAGCAGAAAAAATTATCCACAAACATTTTAAATATTTTTTTTAAATTATTATTAAACTGACTAATTATTCAAATAAATACAAAATATAGTAAAATAAACATTAAGGTGCAGCATTTCGATGAACTGAAATTAATATGTATTTGAACTGTACTAGTACCTAAGCAGCCAGCTTGACATAGGACTTGCTTTTCATTGTATTTTGTTGTTCTAAGAAAGATGAACTTGTCCACATTGCTTGCTGAAATGGCAGATCTGCTGGCACTAACAACTGTCTCCTGCTGTGGAGAACACCCTCTCTAGGGACAGAGGTAGCACAGCCAGGTAGCGCTTTGCTAACATGGCAACATAAGGATATTTGGCGTTTTGTAATAGCTTTGGGCTCGGTCTGAACTTTCTGCGAGTGGTGGAGGCTTACATGCTAGTGGAGTTGGGTTTGCACTTCAGTCTTTTTTTCTTTTGGTACCGGTTGATATTCACATTCGGGTGATGCCTTTTCAAATGAGTGTGATGTATTGCCAGCCGCGTAACCAATGTTAGTTGAACAATGTCGACAAACAGCTGTTGGTTCGGTCCCACCTGTCTTTGTCCGTCATCCTTGTACGTAACTGCGAAACCAAAATGTTCCCAAAACGGAGACTTCAATGATGCTGGAGGATTTTCAGCTCAACTTTATCTGCGTTCGCTATTTCCTCAAATTACTGACTACATTTGAACACATCCCTGTGACCAGCTCTCATAGTATGCCTCTCGTCCAATGAAATGACTTGGTCGCTCTATGATATATACCTGAGATTACTTCCAGAAAGTTGTTCTCAATTGTTTACGTTTAACGCTATATTCGTTCGGTACACACGTGTACCGAACCGAAAGGCCCGTACCGAATAATTTCAGTACGGGTACGTGTACCGTTACACCCCTAATTGATTGATATGATTGCGATTTCAATCAGCATATACTTCTGTCAGGGGATGCCACCCCTCAAAATCTCCTGCCACCCTCTTGCCACCCCATGAATATTTGTCTAGATCCGCCCCTGGGTCTATGCAAATGGTGCAGTGACGCGTCCTAAAACCCGGAAGTAAGCTTCGCTCGGATTCCCTCGACAGAAAGCATTGGGATTTCTCCATAGGGTTTTGGAAAATAGCTCGAAATAAGGTCTGTGGAAAACGAACCTGTTAGATAAATGCACGTTGTGTTCAGCCGGATAATATCCACATGTCTATCCTACTTTTATGATTTTTGAATCTGATGAATGATGAATGATTAGCATAAGTTCGTTCATGATGGCTTACTTCAGTGATAGTGATGACATCGTTGCGAAATTATTAACGGAGTCATTTTCAAGATTGAGTTACAATGATAAACTGGAGTGGCAAAGGATCAGCTGAATGACCCGCAAGTGCTTCATCCAAAAGGACAGGAGGATGGACTTTGTGTTTCAGTGATTTGATCATCAAAGGTAGGCCTAAGTCATTTTCAATGCGGGCCGCCGTGCCGACTTAACTCATTTGTAATTGTTATTTGGCTGTGGGTGCCCTGTCATGATAGGTGTTTATATAAATGGTGTGGTAGAGGGTCGCTGTCATTGATGCGTTTTGCACCCCGGACCACTGTTTTGATATTCCGCTGAAGTCTACGTCGAGACGTAATATATCTTCTTTTTTTCGAGGGAAGGGGGGGTCAGAGGGCCTAGGTATAAAAGTCACGGCTCGCCACTGTTATATAGTGATATTAATACAAGAATACGTTCACCTTTACTTTGAAGCTTTTTTACTGTTAACTGCTAACATGCAAAATCGGTTAATTCCAGATATATGGAGGGAAACCTGTGCACACCTGGTAGACATTTAAACAATATGAATGAGAACAATTGCAGGATGCAGACAAAGCTTTACTTTTACGCTTGAGAAGATATCCAAAGGGCACACTGAACAGCAGCTCTCCAGATCCTCTGCTCTCCTCCTGGCAGGCCTGGGCATGCTTCCTGCTCTCCTCCTGTGTTTCTGCACAGTGTGTGTGAGGGAGAGATTATGTGAGCTGAGAGTCTGGAGGGCCTCTGCAGGGCTGGGTTTAAGGATCTAGAGAGCACTGGAGAGTTCCAATAGAAGCCCTCTAAGTCACTGTGCAGAGATTATTTTCCTCCCTTCAATGTTTCAAGGCAGCTGGATTTTATAGGTTTCACTTCACACAAAATAGTTTTTTCACATCACATGCAGCCCCACGGTGACTTTAAAGCAAGATGGAGGTGTAACTAGCCTTTTAGGGAATTAAAGCTTCATCTTGCATCCTGTGGGTCATGACAAACCTTTTATCTCTAATTGAGAAACTAATGAAATCATATATTAGGACACCAAAGTGTTCCCACAAGCACCGATCTTTAATTTAAATCAAAAGTTGAAACATCTATTAGTCTTAGGAGATGTAAGTATTGTCCCAAATGAAAAACTGTTCTCACTTTCACTCTGACTTGAATCATTACTACAATTAAACCACTTTGCAAATCCCCACAGCCTCTGTTCTCTGACCTAATTTGTTCCAGATGAGGATTTTAATAAGAATATGGTGTCTCTCACTATCGATGGTGCTTCTGTCTGTGCATCCATTCATTAGTATGCATTGCAACCAATGCAAATGAGTATGCTGGCCGGGGCAGAAACATCACAGAAAGTTTAATGCTGACTGATGAAATGTGTTCTTGGACAAATGTTCTACTGCAGTGCATGGTTAACAATTTATTAGGGTTTATATTTCAGTGGTGTTGTAGAAGGTTGCATGTACTGTATGCCCTTTACCATATATGTTATGTTGACATTAAGGTCATGTTTTTATTGGTATTGTGTTCGTTTAAAAGGTGCTTCCAATTTTGTCCACTTTATTTACATGTATAAGAAAGTAACAAAGTAATAACAGACAAACTCTTTGTTTACATACATAAATATATACTATTCAACGCACCTCTTCTCTTTCTAGTACAACATCAGTTGTCTACAGTCAAGAAAAATCTCTTCATCTTAAGCTTCTCAAAGTTATGATTTATTGCAGTGCTGTTGGCACAGCGGTGAGATTTGCCTCCTTTGTAAATATTTGATGTTCTGTTTCAGCATCGTGTGGAAGCTGCTACTCCTTTGCCACCATGGGAATGCTGGAAGCTCGAATTCGAATCCTCAGCAACAACACCGACACCCCCATCCTCAGCCCCCAGCAAGTGGTCTCCTGTTCCGAATATTCTCAAGGTAAACTCAATCTTAAATCTTCTTTCCTTAACAATTTGGTTAACACTAAAATTGCATATATGAATTTGGCAGTAATTAGAAAATGTACCTAAACTAAGTATTCGTATTGTGGGCTGATGATGAAAGAGTGTACAAATGCTGCATGTAGAAACTCTGGGACACCTTCCTCCCTAATCAGAACAAGTAGCGTTTAAGTGGGTTTTTTTATGGCAATGTATAAAGCATGTTATAATCAGGGCTGCACATAACTGGTGCGCAGGTGCGCATGCGCACCTCCGCCAAAAAAAGAGCACCGGGTCATTTGAAACAAAGCGCATTTGCGTACCAACATTGAGAGAGGGAGAGAAGGGAAAAGAGAAAATATAGGATAGATGAGAGAGAGAGAATTAAGCGAGAGATAGAAAGATATTTGCGAGTTGCATATGAACCATGATATGAACTCAAGGCCGACCCGTAGCACTGGCTAGATGTTCGCCTAGGGCGCCAGATCTGTGGAGGCGCTGCGCTGGCAGTTCTGGGAGGGAAAAAAACATTTTGACCGTTGGGGCTCATCCTAATTTTCGGCCTTGATGTAACAATATTCATAATTAAGTAAATGTAACACCCTTTTCACCCCGGTTACACGTTTCATTTGCCCTGTACGATGGGCGCTGTAAGTGATGAAAATGGGGGATGTTGGCTTATCTGGCGCCCGCAGCTCACAGACAAAATGCGAGTGAGCGAGGGAGAGAGTGAGGGTGGTACCAGCGCTGTTGTTATTATAATCTGGTGCTAGCTGCTCTAACGGATATAAGAAGAAGATGTTTCTACAATAATGTGGAGGGAGAGTCCTCTCCAGTCAGACTGAGAGGCTGATAAGTTAACTACAGCTCAGTGAGGTAAAGGACTCGAGTGTTTAGATAGTTAACTTTAGTCTAAGTTCAAACGGTTTGGTCACAATTTATGTAAACACATATTTCCAAGGCACTCCTTTATAATTATTGGGATAAACAGGTTTTAAATCATTCCAATGTATACTATAGGACAGTAACCAAAAATATCCTTTAAAACTGGAGAGATAAAAAAAAAAGCATAAATAAATAAATGTTAAGGTAAAATAAGATATGAATGAACAACACAAATAAAATAAGTTACATTCATTTGTTATTGGCTATGGTAGGTTATTGGTTATGTTCACATACTTATTTGATTACATCCACTTTTCTAAGATGATCACAACAGAGACTTTCGACCCAAAACCAGCTGTTGACTTGTGGATGCAAGCAGCTAATCACAGACTCAACCAGAGAGAAATAAGTAGGGCCTCCATCATCAGCTACCATGTCTGACAGAGAGGAAGACAGTGAGGAGAACAGTCAGGAGGGTAGTGATGACAGCTTGTAGGATTACTGGTCGTGCTAATGTTGTCTTGTGTTCACCTCTGTATGTGTGTTCTGTGTTCACCTCTGCATGTGTGTTCAGTGCCGTGTGTCTGGCAAATAAAGTCAAGACCCCCTCAAAAGTTACAGTTTATTTCATTTTAAGGATGAGCACCAAGCAACATCTCCAGGTGCTCCTTTGAGAACCAGGGCAAAAAAGTTATGTGCACCCCTGGTTATAATTGTCCTGATTAATACATTATCAGTAATTATTTTTGTAGAGTTGTGGAAATGCTCTCATTTATTATTTCCATCTTGGACCACAGAAGTGTTTCCAGCCAATTACAAAGTCAAGAAACCTCAAACAATTCTTGAGAAAATTCAAAATGTCAGATCTAGTCAACTTTATTGTCAAATGTGTTCAGACCTATATACAGTCTATGGTTCAGACAGAGAGATCGAAATACCGTTTCCCACAATCCCGAATACAAAAATAAATAAAATATAAGAATATATATACACATTTATACATATGCACACATTAAGACATAAATAAAAGCACAACAATCAATATATACAAAATAACAGTCACTTCAATATCTTTGGTACAAACTTTGTTATTTATCTCTCCTTTTATAAGGTTGCGATGGCGGATTTCCATACCTGATTGGGAAGTACGTGCAGGACTTCGGTCTGGTGGATGAGTCGTGCTATCCATATATTGGAAAGGACTCTCCCTGCAGTCTCCCTCAGAACTGTGGTCGCATCTACACCGCCGAATACAGCTATGTTGGCGGGTTCTATGGCGGCTGCAGTGAGATGGCTATGATGTTGGAACTGGTCAAGAATGGACCAATGGGAGTGGCCTTTGAGGTAAACAGCTGGTTACGGTTTCTTTAATGCTATTTCTAAACAAACAGTTTGTGTTCACTAAACAATTGGGGTTTTATTTTGTCAATACATGTTAGTTTAAGTAATTTTAATTCAGGTTTTCAGCTATTTCTGTTTAAGCCTGTTATAATTTAGCTGTTGCTGTGGTACTTTAAATACTCTGCACAAATTGAGATATTTTTTTCCGAAAGCCTTTAAAGATATAATGAATACAATAAATCTAAGAATAAGAAAATATTCAGGCTTTTCAAAGGCTCTCTCACATTCAGTCTTTTTGTATTATCGTCAAAAGGCCTATTATTTTTCTTGCCTTCAACTGTGTGCATAATAAAACAGTTGGCTTCTAATTCACACAGTTGGTACATTTTACCCACTGTGGGCCTTATGATTAATGTTTTTGATTCTACAGTGTTCATGGAGGTGGTCTTTTCATCTGGGAAGTTGGCCTGTCTTGGCTATAAAACACTAATGGAAACCCTGCAATATATAATTTGACTACTTCTGTTTTGTATTGCAAAACTTTTGAACGTTACACTGTGCTTTTTTTTGTTTGAGTAGTATGTCACTCTGATTTAACTCTCCATACATAGTGTAATATCAACAACTCTCAGTGTAAGCTATCTGCAAATTCTCTGGAAGTAAAGGTTTAATTTGTCCCATTAACCCCAATGCACAGCTAAGCTAGGAAAATGCTAGCAAGTGTTAACCGTTAGTTTATTCATTTTTATTTATAAAATGAAGGTAAATGTAATTTTTTTTTTATTAAATGCCTTTTGTAATTTTGTCTTGACAACTCATTAGCCCTCCCTTTATAAGCTATAGCTTGAGTGTGATATGCCCTTAAAAAAGTAAATGAAAATCGTCCGTATCCTTCCACAGGTCTACCCCGACTTCATGCACTATAAGGAGGGCATCTACCACCACACAGGCCTCGGAGACCCCTTCAATCCCTTCGAGCTGACCAATCATGCCGTGCTGTTGGTGGGCTACGGCCGCTGCCACATGACCGGTCAGAAGTACTGGATTGTCAAAAACAGCTGGAGTACCAACTGGGGCGAGGACGGCTACTTCAGGATCCGCAGAGGCAGCGACGAGTGTGCCGTCGAGAGCATCGCAGTGGCAGCAAACCCCATCCCCAAACTGTAGACGCTCAGAGAGGTTTAACAATCAGTCATTCATACAAATTTTAAACTAGGAATTAGTTAAAAGCATAAAAAGGGACACAAAACGTATCTTTTATGGTTGATTTAGTATTTATAACATATCATTCATTTGAATTGGAGTGAAACTGCTGTTGTGCTCTTTTGAAGCCATGAATTTAGCACGCCTGCCTACAAAGGCAAGGCGTCAAAAAAACAAATTGTTTTATTTTTTCCAATTTCAGCAATCACTGATTAACTGCCTATGGATGATTTTAATTCAAGCTTTAACTGCCAACACAAACTTGAAAACAAAATGCTTCGGGTCTTACTTGAATGCTGAATGGTACTAAAATCTAAAAGTTTTGATGCACAACGTTACTGCAGATGTGAAGGGATTTAAATTGAAAGGGAACTGAGGAGTGTTTGTGTTTTATTGTCAGGTGCAGGACTTTGATTATTTTTCTCAGGGAAGCAACGGTTGCAGAATTGCAACCTCTTTTGTCCTTGCACCAAATTGAAAATGTTACTGCCATGTTTCTCTGTGTACATTTTAACTGGAATTATTGATCAATCAGAATAAGGGATTAAGTGATTTGATTGCCTTTTATTGTGATTTGCACTGATGTTTTTAATTTTGATGGAATAAAAGCATTTATAAATGTATGTTGTCAATGTGTATGGAAAAAAAGACATAAACAGAATAACTAACGGTTAACAGAATTTACACACGGCATCTATTGCACGTCTGTCCGTCCTGGGAGAGGGATCCCTCCTCTGTTGCTCTCCCTGAGGTTTCTCCCATTTTTCCCTTTAAACTGTGGGTTTTCTCCGGAAGTTTTTCCTTGTACGATGTGAGGGTCTAAGGACGGAGGGTGTCGTATTGTCATACTGATATTCTGTACAAACTGAAGTCCACTGAGACAAATGTGATATTGGGCTATAGGCCTATAAATAAACATTGATTGATTGCATTTTTAAAAGAGAACTAAAAAGTTGAAATGGCCCAATAAACAGCAACATGTTGCTCATTAATTAATCAGTAACACAATCCAAAAGTTAAATACATAATACTGCCTATGTAATGTTGGGAACCTTGCATGCAAACGGCTGACCAAAGGCCTATTTTTACTCCACTATATCGTTAAATGAAGTTGTTTTGTTTTTTTACAAATGAAGCATTCTGAAGATGTAAATAACTTTCGATGTGAGTTTTAAAGTTATTACCTCAGCATTTAATATTTTGAGTGATTATCCTCTCCGGTTTGGACGTTTTAAATACTCCCTGGCACTCGGAGGCAGCGTTTACAGTCCCAAGGTCCTGACGACTCCGCTCCACTTCCGTCTGTGGGCCAGGGCGTACCTCCCTCATTCCTCCCTCTTCCTCCTTATTCGCCTCTCAACTCATTCCCAACTCTCCTCAGTTCCCTGCTGTCCTGTGCTTCTCCCCTTTCATCCCCCGGCTCTCTCCATTCCGGTGGATTCATGCTCAGCTCTCGCCCTCCTCGGTCGCCATGCAGAACAACCACACCAAGGAGCATCTCTTTAAGATTCTCGTTATAGGGGACCTCGGGGTTGGAAAGACCAGCATCATCAAGCGGTATGTGCATCAAAACTTCAGCCCCAACTACCGAGCCACCATCGGGGTGGACTTCGCCCTAAAAGTCCTCAACTGGGACCAGGAGACGGTGCGCCTGCAGCTGTGGGACATCGCAGGTACAGAACCACTTTTACGCACGGCTCATACCAAAAAGCAGTTCAGAAAGGGCAAACACATATGAGATGTTATGAAACATATTAGTTTTGAATTACTTTTTGAACAATAGTTTTTTTGTTACTGCTGTGTCTCAAAGTGTACAGTTTTGTTAAAGTACGCCACAGGGAAATTAGTTGATTAAATGATGTATGTATTTCGAAAAGATATATGGAAATGTTTGGAGATTTATAAATATGTAGCACATATGACATATTCACTTTTTCTTCAGTTTAAGCTGTGATAGACTTTGTTTGACACTTAAATAACATGTAATTTATCATTATATATCATCATATATATTTAAAGGCTTTAGGCTCTTATATCTCTTGAGGAGATTATGTTTACAGTGATGCCTTTTTTATTTTTTGATCGTCACATGATAAAATGAATCTGCTTCAAAATTCCACTGTGTTGTAGTTATGAGAATCAAATGTTCCATTCATGTAATTTTAATTCAAGAAAAATAACTATCCAAATAACAGATTACATATTTATGATAGTTCGGCTGCTCAAATAAAAAAAAAATAACGTTTTATTTTAGGAAAGGCAACAAGTGGTGTAAGTCTCATAAAAGAGTCCTGAGAGGAAATGTCATGTGGTGTACTGACATTCAAATAATTGTGTATTTTAGATAAACATCTAGTTTGAGCCCTTTGATGAAAAGACATTAACTGATCATGAGACAATGTCGTCAGAGTTGTTATTTAACCATTTTGGCAGGGGGATGATATTAAGGTTTATCTAGGGTAAACATTTTTCATGTCTACCAGCTGACCTCTGACATTACTCACTTCAAATCACTTAGCAACGCATTTCTGTAATTACACAATTGTCTTTATTTAGAATCACAATAAACACACACACACAAATGCTGAACATCTCTCTTAGACCAAAGTGCAAAGCCCGCACATGTACCATGATTATTATAACATATTTGTCAATATTAAATCAAACCCATTCGTGTGACCTTTAAACAAGTAAATATGTTTCAATCTGTGGGATAGTTTGGCGGGAGCTTCCAAGTTTTCATTTTATTTAAAAAGACTAAGATAGAATTCATGTAATTGATGAATTCAAATGCATTTCAGATAACATTTACTAATTGTCTTTCCCCAAGTGGCCACTCACCTCTTCTCTGCAATCTGCTAAACTGCATGCCATTCCCCCCGATAGGATTCTATGTATTCTGTCCTTCTTTACTATGTTGTATGCATCCAGATATGACTGCACACAACTGGAATGTGGATCATTCATTTTCATAAAGAATAGAGAATGTCTTTTGTGAAAATGACAAATTCTATTTAAGCATTCATTGCCTGGGGTGAACATACATTTAGGGCTTTTGAGTGGGATGCTGTGGGTTAGACACCCGAGGCTACAGCAGTCTCATCTCACATGAGTGTCGGCTGAGGTTCAGAAGAATGGTCTGACCTGCTGCTCACTCCCCTCCTGTGCGCCCTCTCCAGTAAGCGCAAGCAGTCATGTGTCTCAAACTCATGTGAGGCAGATTTGAGGCCCAAGCTCTTGTATACAGAAAGCTTTTATTGTGAACTAAGGATTAGTGTCTCCCTCAGAGAAAACGACAATAGGTCTGTAGTGTACGTGTTCCCTTCACTCACCCTAAAGGTATGGAAGCCTTGAGGTGGAGTAGCCAGTATGTCTACAAAGTCTGTTCATTAAGATTATCAAATTAGTTTTCTAGTTAGTTTGGATCTTAGAAGGTATATATTTTAAGATTTTGTCACAAATAAACACACTGATTACAAGCAAATGAAGGAAATGTCCTAAAATAAATATGTTTGCATTCAGCATTTTACTTTGTCCATCACTGCTTTGTTTATTATGATAGTGTTAAGGTTTCTCATGCCACAGAAGTAATAAATCACCTGCTGCTTCTGTGCATTTCCCAAGACAAATAATAACTTCAGCCGGTCTATTTTTGACTCCCATTTTTCTCTGTTCAGGTCTGTCAGGGTGACGTGGATATCTGCAGGGGCATAGAGCATGATGGTGGGACTCTGGATGGTTTACTTTAGGGCACGTTAGAGGGGCTTTATACTGTTCAGCCTTTTGAAATCACAAAGATACAGTAAACATGTTGAGCTGTGGATGTTTCCAGAACTGACCAAAGATCTTTCACATGTTATGCTCTACTTAATCTCCACATGTAATATCTAATAACGAAGCCTGTGCCTCTCCGTAACTTTAAAGGACCAGAAACATCACTTCTAAATCAGCTTTTTATATGGTTAAATGGTTTTGGTAATTCCACATGAGAGATACCTACTGTATTTATGTTTCGGTCAGTATTCTTTTAACCAGTTTGAGGGTGAAAATAAGCAACGTCTTGTACCAGTTAGAATCTAATCACATAAGAAAAACTTATTATCTAATCGAATTACACCCACATAATTCTGATGAAGTAAATTAGCACAGCCTTTAACTGTTAAACTATTATTTGATGATACATAAGGTTTTCTTTAGCTACAATGTTCACTTAACTAGTTTCATATTCAGTCATTCTTATTAACATTTAAATATAAACAGTTTGAAACAATTGTCTTTTTTCAGGTTTGGTTTTATTAGGTCAAGAAACAATAGTGAGTTTGATTCAGTTAACAACAAAATATACAATTATAATTCTTCACTTTATACAGCCATACTATACTATGCTACTTATTGTTATACTAGATTCTACCTTTCTGATATGTACTTAATGGCTACACACAACCTCCTGGCAGCTGACCCTGTTAACTGGTCCATCGGTGTCAGGTGAATAGCAAATGTTTCTATGGGCCTCTACAAAGTAGCTTGTAAATAAATATCAACTTCTCTTCTCTTTGCCATGATGCAAACTGTTTTTAGAAGGATCAGTTAGGGTTTGTGGTTTAGTCCTCAGTATACATATGTCTTGCCCACAAGCTGAACTGTGAGGCTGGTACTGATGGTGCTCTAGCAGACGTTATGGATGGGAAAAATCACTGCGGATACAGCATTCCTACAGAGCTTATCGAATTAATTGTACCCTCAGGAATTTGTACAGTTCACAGTCAGGAGAACACGGACACGCTCACACCAAAGACTCCTCTCTCCTCCTACCAGCCCTGCCTCTATCCGTGTCTGCATCTTATCTATCTCTTTATGCAGCCCTTCTAACAGTATAAGCATGCTATTTTGTGTGCATATCCATGTTTGAGAGAGTGGGTGAGGTATGTCAGGAATTCTTGCATGGTAGCACATGAGACAGGAGTGTGATAAAACGAGTAAATCGGATGATTCATGGCTCTGTGTCTGTTTGCTGCTGAGGTGTCACAGCAGCTTTTTGGGCGCCAAAATGTAGCTTCCAAGAAAGTGTAAGAAATATTTTCTCACTGTGCAAGACAGTATCACGTTTTATCACTTTTTTCTCTGTGTATACATCTTTGCCCTTGTCTGTGTGTGTCTTCTAGGTCAGGAGAGGTTTGGCAATATGACCCGTGTGTACTACCGCGAGGCCATGGGCGCCTTTATTGTGTTTGACGTCACAAGGCCCGCCTCCTTTGAGGCCATCACCAAATGGAAGGAGGACTTGGATTCCAAACTGTCCCTTGCCAATGGGAAACGTGTAGCCACTGTGCTTTTGGCCAACAAATGTGACCAGGGTGGGGACGTACTGACCAATAATGGAATAAAGATGGAGCAGTTCTGCCAGGAGAACGGCTTTGTGGGATGGTACGAGACGTCCGCTAAGGTGAGAACACATTTATGAACACAAAGCAAGGAGCTGTGGATAGCCTTCAACAGTGTGCCCTTTTTTCAAATATCCTTGAGAAGCATCTGACTCCCTGATGGTTTGATGGTGAATAAATCCTTTAAAAGCGAGTTTAACAGTGTCTCAGTCTACTCAATACTTGTTTCAGTCAATGAGCAG